AGTGCAGTTGGTTGAGTGTCCAACCCTTGGTTTTGGCACAGATCATGATCCTAGGGTTGTGAGATTGAGCCCGTCGTTGGGCTCTGCTCTCAGCACAGAGTCTGCTTAAGACTCTCTCTCCCTCTTCCTCTGCTCCTCCCCACTCTCAAATAAATAAATAAATCTGCAAAAAAGTAATAAAGTCTGAAAGGGTATAGAGTGAAGTCTCGCCCATCTCTGTCTTTCAGAGACTGTTCCCTTTCTACAGGAAACCAATGTTGCTAGTTACTCATGTAACTTTCCACAAAAATTTTATGCAAATAGGTGCATATACTTAACTATATTTCCCCTTTTCTGGTGCAAATGCTAACATTCTATCCATCCTGTTCTGTACCTTGCCTTTTTTTTAAAGCACAGAATGAGCTACTTTATCCCCCCAAAATGGGAATCATTTGAGTACCCACCTCATAAAGTTGTGAAAATTAAACAAGCTTAACATATGCAAAGCACTTGGAACACACCAAGTATATTGTAGCTGTATCTGTTTCCTTTTGCTATAACAAATTACCACAAAATTACCACAAATTACCACAAAGTGGCATAAAACAATATCCCTGTATTATCCTATATTTTCTATAGGCCAGAGTCTGAGCATAGCTTAGCTGGTTTCTGTGCCTGGGTATCACAAGTCTGAAATCATGTCAGCTAGACTTCATTCTCACCTGGAGACTCACTAGGAAAGACTTTGCTTTTAAGTGTCTTCAAGTTGTTGGCAACTATTGAATTCATGGCAGTTTGCTTTATCTGAGCCAGTGGCAGGGCTGGGGGTGTAGGGGGGTTGGGGAGAGATAGTCTCTGCTGCTTGGAGTCTCTGTCTTCAAGGAATGAGTAGGTCTTCTATTAATTTTTTCATTGAGATATAATTCATACATCACAAAATCCATCCTTTTAAAAAAAAATTTAAAGTAAGCTCTATGCCCAATATGGGACTTGAACCCATGACCCTGAGATCAAGAGTTACATATTCCATGGAATGAGCCAGCCAGGCACCCCCAAATCCATCCTTTTAAAGTGCATAATTCAGTGATTGTTAGTATATGCACAAAGTTGTACAACTATCATCATGTCTAATTTCAGAATATTTTCACCACCCTAAAGAGAAATCCCATACTCATTAGCAGTCTATCCTCATTCCCTGAATAACCCTCCCTCCTTTCTAGCTTCTGGTAACCAACAATCTGCTTTTTGTTTCTACGGATTCACCTCTTCTGAACATTCATATGAATAGATATATGATACAGTATGTGATCTTTTGTGTCTGGCTTCTTTCACTCAGTACAATGTTTTCAAGTTGCATCCATGTTGTAGCATGTGCCAGTGCTTCATTCCTTGTTATGGCTGCATAGTATTCCACTGTATGGATGGATATATGCCATTTGGTGGATATTTAGGTTGTGTCCAATCCTTTGCTATTACAAATACTTGCTATCCCATTATAAACAACAATAGATATATTTAAGTAAACATTTTGAATGTGAATGAGTATATCTGCGCTATAAATGTCTAGAAGTAAAATTATTAGATCACAGGTTTACCCATCAGTAATACTGATACTTATTGTCAAGTTATACCATTTACAATCTGTCCTTTTTTTTAAAAGATTTTATTTATTTACTTGACAGAGAGGGAGAGAGGGAGAGAGAGAGGGCAAGCACAAGCAGGGGGAACAGCAGGGGGAGAGGGAGAAGCAGGCTCCCCACTGAGCAGTGAGTCTGAAGCAGGACTCAGTCGTGGGACCTGGGGATCATGACCTGAGCTAAAGGCACATGCTTTACCAACCAAGCCACCTAGGTGCTCTATACCACTTATAAGCTGTCTTTTAAAGTACTGTTTGAGGAAGGGAGGTGAAATTATGTGGGGGAAAATGCACTGAGTTCTGGACTTTATTTTACCACTTAGAAGAGAAGTTAGCATATAGAGGTTATTAAGAGCATGGGCTTTGGAGGCAGACTGCCTGGATTAGAATCTTAGTTCTGCCACTATGATCTAAATGACCTTAGGAAAGTTAAATAACCACTCAGCTTGTTTATCTGCAAAATAGAGATGGCATTGGTCCTTTTGGGGGGGGCGGTTAATGAGATAATACATACAAAACTTTTATACCAGTGCCTGACACATGGGAAGTGCTCAATAAATGTTAACTCTTTTTATCTGGCAGTGTGATCTTGGGCCACTGTCTTTCCCTATTTTTAAAATGAGAAGTTGAACTGAGTTATTTTTTTGTGTTTCCAGGTTTTAAAAGGTGATTATGGTCCCTGGATATTTAATTATATACTGTCTCATATTGTTCTCTAATGTTCTTTGTGTTATTGTTTTGTTCATTCCTGTGGGTAGGGGACAACATAAGTTTTATACTTTTAACCTTTGATAGCCCTTGTTCCAAAACCATGAACATCTGTAATGGTGCCACCACTTGCATTCCCCCACCTCTACCAAATATATATACTGTCTAGTGTACATAAACATATATGTATATGTACATACATATATGTACATGCATATATAAAAACACATATGGATAGCCTGTCTTACTGTGTTCGTTTTCCTGAGATAGGTAGGATTTAGCAAATTTATGCCCCCTCTATCCCTTTCTCGTAGTTGATTCTTTGTCTCTGCTTAGTCATCACCATAGATCCTAATTTACATATATTCCCCACTTACCTGTAAACTCAAAGGAGGTAACCATGTCCATTTGCTTCCATTACATCCTCAGTGCATAGCAGTGCTTAGCTCCCAGTAAGCAATTAAAAAATATCTTTAATATTGAATATTCATAATGTGCTCCAACTAAACCTAAAACTTTTTGCTATCTATAACTGAATAGTTAAAATTATATGTTAAAGATTCCCGATTTTTTTCTACCCTATAAGGTATAATGATAAATTTATTAAAATTATTTTTAAATAAATGTTTTGGGACGGAAAAAATTTGTCCATACAAAATTTAAGATTCAATCTCTGTAAAAATGGTTTCTCTGGCCTAGTTTTAGGTACTCTACCAACAACCTGTGTATTTGCCTTATTCATAGCCTAAGGGTTTCTACTTTCCAGGTAAAGTTGGCTTTTGCTGAGCAAATGACAAAAGCCTGTTATTTGAATAATGGCACCAGCCTTTAGTTAGGGCTTATTTATCTTTAAATCTTATACAAATGAGCTTGTAGAGATGTCTTTAATGAACCAACAAAAAAGAGAGTTACCATCTGGAGACCTCAACATCTGAGTTTCTGATCTTCTGTAGCCTCTTTTATATTAAGTAAAGTCTCTTTCCCCAAGTTTAAAAGGTTATTTTTAACTTAAAATAATGTAGTGTTTTGTCTCAACATAGCCCCTAGTGTTTTCATCAGTATTTAAAAAGGTTTTTACATTAACCATGTAATAAAAGGAGTGATTGTTTGAAACTCACTTTCCTATGATTTACAGAGCTGATGCAAATAGATTGACCAAGCTTGATTAGCTTTTCCATATTAGCTGGGATGTTATTTAATATGGGACATAGGAATCTGACTTTCTTGTTGCCCTTGGGAAATGCTCTTCAAGTAGTACCCAGGTGGCAAGGACCAGGGTTTTATTGTAATTATATAAATTTGGTCAGTCAACTCCTAGGGAGACAGCGGGAATTTGAAAATGGAGATCTGGGTCTCAATCCTGATCCTGCTGCTTGAAGACTGAGCAAAATATCTATCCTCATTTCTTCATCCACAAAATTCATTAAAGGTGCAATCCTGCTGTGAAGATGAAGTTTTAGAAAAAGCAGTGAAGTGCAAGTACTCTGTCGGAGTTAAATAGATCTGGTTTCAAATTCTGATTTTATTAAATTGTTCAATGTCTTGCAACACTTATTTAAATTGTGCATAATAGACCTTCCTGATATCTGTTGTTGTGAGGATTAAATGGAGATTATAGCATGTATACTGCTTTGTCCAGTGCCTGGCATACAGAATGCACCCCGTGAATACTGTCTGTACTCAAGATAACCCATAATAGTAGTTTCAATTTAGTTAGCATCAAGTGTTTAAAACCACTTCCTCTTGACAAATTGTTTTAAGGGAGAGCGACCGACCACCTGCTGTATATCTTTTAATGTGGCGGTAAACTTCTAGATTTCTTTAGATTTCTTTAATATATACAGGAAAACTCAAAACATCAAACGAAAAATGTCTAGAAGTCAGCAACCCCCTCTCCCTCCCTTTAAATTCCCCAGAACCAAATTCCGTTAACACTAGGCTGTGAAGTCACATTTAAGGATCCCAGGTATTGACTATGGGCTGGAAGCATGCCACTGGTTGTAACCCTTGAAGGTCAAAGGGGGCGGGGAGCAGTATTGAAAAGATGCAAGATCCCGTTGGAAAGGCAGATGGCGGGGCTCGGAGGCTTTCAGGTTGTTATCGCTGTAGTCCATTGTCTTATCTCCTCTCCAGGCCCACATATGCACGTGAATATTTCACAGTTCCTCCGGCATCCACTGCTTGAGTCCTCTTTTGGTGGAGGAAACTCGTGCGCGGAGATAGAGGTTATCTTACTACGATAGTCGACGCCTGGGCTCGCGGGACCCGTCCAGGCGCACCTCCCTCCCCTGCAGCGCTGGCCAAGAGCGGTCCCGGGATTTGCAGCTCGCCTTAAACTCTGTCCACCCCGAAGCGGTCCGCGGCGTCGAGATATTAGCAGGGCGTTGCCGTCGCCCCTTTTGGCGGGCTCGGTCGCCCCGAGGCTCCGCCCCCCTGCGCCGTCTATCCTCACACGCGGAGGCGGGCGCCGCACCCCCATTGGCGGAGCGGCCCGCGGCGGGCCCGCCCCCTCTCGGCCCCGACGCGAGCACGTTGAGTGGCGGGGCCGGCAGAAGAACTGCCAGAGCGAGGAGCGGCTCCTGGGGCCGGGCTGCGGGGTTGGGGCGCCAGCTTTGGGGCCCCCGAGAGGCTGCTGGGTCGGGACCGCGACCCGCGGCCACGGGGGGAAGGGGGTGGGTGGGCTGAGAGCAGCTCGGTGGCGAGGCCTGCCCTCCGCCCCTTCCCCCCACCCCCGCCGACCTTGCCGGCAGAAGCTTCCCGGAGCTCCGCACGCCGGCGCGATGGCGACTGCTGGGGAGACGGAGGCCTCTCCGCCGACGGACGCGAGCTGGGAAAGTGGCGGCGGCGGAGACGACGAGATGAAGCAGGCGCTTCCGGAGCTTGAGTCCTCCCCACAAAATGGCGGCGGCGGCGGCGGCCTCAGCATCGCGGAGCCCGGCGGCGGCGCCGGGCCTGAGGAAACCGCTGCGGCCTCGGCCGCCCCGAGCGTCAGCCACGAGCAGCCTCAGGACTCGTCTGAGGCGGGCGCGGCCGCTCTCCTCAAAGGCCCCGAAGAGCCCGAAAGACCCGTTAGGAGGAGTTTTCAGATCCCCAGGAAGAGCAGAGAAAAGAAAGGTGGTGCTTCCCCTCTTCCCCAACCCCTCTTTCTCTCTCCCCTCCATCTTTTCATTAGAACCTCTCTGTCTCTTCTTCCCACACCCATCCGAGACACGTAAACACGCATGCAGCGCCAGCCGCCTCTCCCCTCACTGCCACGGCCACCCAGCTGCTGCGCCTGGTGCGAGAGGAAAGCGGTGGAACCACGCTCCCCTGCTCCCCCTGTCCCCGTGGAAGTTGGAAGTAGCTTGTCCGTAAGGCTGCAGCTCCCAGAGAGGAAAGATGGTGCTCGGCGCCCCTCCCTCCCAGCCCCTGAAGGCACAGAAGCTGGTGTGTCCTCCTAAGGATGCTTCTGACAAGTCTCACTGTGGAAATAGCCCTTGGCCATGGATTCTGGGGCTTTCTCCAAGGCCATTGCATTCAGAGGACCACAAGTGCTTCTCCCTTTGGAAATTCTTCAGCTCTGTCTACTTGAAATTTGCTTGATGTCAGCATCTCCTCTTGTTAAGAAATCTCCATTAGATGTGATCCATGCACACTGGTATTTTCCATCACACCTCATTTCCATATAGAATTTTCCCCTTGTTTTTGAAGAGTTAGATTATATAGGTCTTTCTCTTTAAATCCAAACTTCAGTATGTTTTCTCTTGTATTTCCGAAGAATGGGAAGGTAGGTTCTTGGTGCAGTAATTTCCCTGTGGAAAAAAATAGAAGTTCGCTTATGCCCAAGAGTCACCAACTTGATCTTGCAGACGAGAAGACTTCAGTTTTTTTTTGTTTTTTGGTTTTGGTTTGTTTTTTTAAAAGGCCAGTCTAGATAGTGGAACCAATATAGGAACAGTTACATGAACTACTTTTACCTTTTTTAAAATTTAATGCTATATTATGACATATTTCTAATGGAGATCAAAATTAGTATTACCGTTTTCTATTATACTATTTTTGACTATCCAGTGATTTAGGATATTCTGGATTTAGTCAATTTAAAATTTCTTTTTGTTTTACTGCTTGGCTCAGTTTTTCATGATTCACTTATTGGAAAATGAAAGGATTTTTTTTTTTTTGCAGAAACTTTTTAATTTGTAATTTAAATCTTAGTGTAAAGACTTGGAATCTTGAATTAAGCATGAGTTTCCTTTTTCCATTGCTTACCCATCTCCATTTGCACAACTGAAATTGTTAGAGCCTATTACCCATAAAATACAAATAAAGTCAAACTGTTAATTTCTATTTCCATGACAAAGCCAAGGAAATCCTTGGTGTGAGAAATGATGTTGACAAAAATGAAGTTACCTTTGCCCGCTAGCATGAGGAATGTATCTAGAAATTTCTTTAAGTGAATTAATGTATTTTAGAGTTCAGGAGGATACTTGTAAAGGTCAGGGCTGTCAATTCTTTGGTTTATTTAGTTAAGATGAATGGTAGAGTCTATATGAGGAAATTCAGATGCTCAACCTAAATTACCAATTGGCAGAGAATAGGTTGAAAGTACGTTCAGGTGGGCTCTGTTAAGGAGGTAGGAGATTGAGCTTTTTTTCTTGTTCCTAGCTTAATAAAACTTTGAAGTCCATTTTTTTCGTCTTTTAATTTTTTTCTCTTGTAAGTGCCCAAGAGTATGGTTTATGGTACATCTTAAACCATGGATTTACCATCTCTTAACTTTTGATAGGACCAGAATGTTGCAGAAATCCTCATAGTTTGGTTTGAGATGAGAGAAGTCACCAGGAAATGTTGAAAGGCATTGTGTTTACATGTGGTTTTTTAAATTAGGTAAATCCAGAGGTTGCTGTAAAATAGGCTTTATTTGAACACACTAAAAGTGAACATAATTGAGGAATTAGGAAATCCAAAACCTAATTTTCTCCCCTGAGTCTGATGCTCCTTGGGGAAAATTTGTTTCCTGTTTTCACTTAGAAGCCAAAGGTTGTCAACCTTTGTCTTGTCAGGGAGGTTATAAAACACACTAGACTTTTTTCATATTTAGTGAAAATAATTTATGCAGTAAGCAGCTGTTCAATGATGCAGTAACAACTTAATTATAAAAGTTAAATAAGCAGCTATTTTACCACTATGAACTTTATCCTGTCCAAGCTGAAAGTAGATCGTGCTTGGTGATAGAATTTAATAGGAAAATTGAACTTTCCCATCATTAAAAAAATGCTTTATCAGAAATAGTACAGCAGGTGCTGCTAGTTTCACACTGCATCTCCAAATCACCTCCTGAAAGGTATCACTGTGTACCAGATTTGGCTAGATTTTAGTTGTGGTCATGTGAGTCTCTTATGAAATATTAGATCTTTTTCAGTAGATACCTCTGAACCTTTCAGCATCAAAGATTCTTTTGCATTCATATTTTAATATGGCAGGCCTGTGCTTGTAACTATGCTTTTCTAGTGAAATTTAACATTGTGACTTGATTATTTTTGATACCTTAAGTACTGTGTGAGTATGACTTGCTGACTTCAAGTTCTTTTTTTTTGGTCTTGACAATAGCATAACATCCAGAATGCCTCCGTTCTAATTAATAATATTGGCAAACACTTTATAGTGCTTATTAGTAAGTTGTAGGCATTGTTTAAAGCAATTTGTACATATTAACTAAATCTCAACAATTCTGCGTAGTAGATATTATTCCCATTTTACAGATGAGGAAACCAAAGTAATGAGAAGTCAATTAACTTGTCAAGGTCATACAAAAAAAGGTAGAGTTGGCATTTGAACTTAGGTGTATAGTACTTACCACTACTCAAACTATAGCAAGTCGTCTTTTTTTTGTGATACAAGTGTTTTTGTTAGCTTTTGATCTCTATTAAAAAAAAGGTTTTAACCTCTGTTATGTTTAGGAATATTTAGTATATCTTCATCTCTGGGGTATTTTGAGATTCAGAACTTACATTCATTATGAAATTAACACATTTAATCAGTAGTGACAGATTAAGTGATGTAACTATTGACTGAAAGAGTAAAATTTACTCTCTGATATATGTTGTGGTGTTTATTGGCTGGGCTATTTTCTGTAGTGTAAAGAGGCACTGTTTACGACGTTTAACCAAATTGTACAATTGCATTTTGTCAGTAGATGTTTCACTCTTGCCTTTTTTTTTACTTTAAAATCTAATAATACTATAAGTCATTAAAAGCAAGTTAAAATTGGTAATTTGATATAATTTTTCCTTCCAAAGTTTTTGGGGAATGAAATAGTGATGATTCACTCTCTGGAAAGTGTTTTATTGGTTAATGTTTTCTGTGGGGCACAAGACTGACTACTCATATACTCGCTTCCATACTGGTCTAGTCTAGCAGAATTAATGGCTAGTTCTCCTCCCCAATAACCATCTTTTCCCACAAAATTTGCAGTTGTCTTTTTGAAGATTTGGGGGCAAAGTCTCCTTTAAGGATATTTGCATGGTGTTTAGTAGTTGTATATGGATGATTGGATTCTAAGTACTGTAGGTTTCCCTATATAGAAATAAGCAGGGAAGTATAGGCAGAATCTAGTCACCCATACAAAACATTTGATCGGTGTGTATATGTTTTAAGTAATAGAAGTAAAATTTTCTTTGACTTATTCCCTAAGCCAGAAAAAGTCAACAGTTTCATATTTGTACTTGTCTCTCTTTTCCTTTCTGCACTATTTTAAATGTATGTATGCGTGTGTATATGTATTTGAAGATTTTCTTTATTAGAGCACAGGAGGGTAAGGGAGGGGCAGAGGGAGAGGGAAAAGCAGACTTCTACTGAGCAGGGAGCCTTATGCTAGGGTTGATCCCTGGACCCCAGGATCATGACCTGAGGCATCCAGGCACCCCAGTATGTTCAATCTTGATTAGAGATGAAACCTCCATTCCAAAGGTATTATGTCTAGCAACTTTATTAGACTGAAGAAAAATGATTTTTAAAACCTTTCAAGTAAGTTACTGGGAAGAACATGGATATTTGTTGTATTCTAATCAATACCAGTAGAGAGATTCAGAGAATTACAGAACACACATGATCCAGAGCCCACTTTTGGGCTCTTTTCTTTTCTTCCATGAATTACTTTAAATTGGAATGTGTAGTTCACATTGTTTTATTTATGTGTTTTAGTAACAGTGGTCTTTTATTTTAAAAGTTAGCTTGTTTTTACATATATGTATATATGATTTATTTTACATATATGCACATCTTAATACATGGCTTTGAACTAAGTAAATTGGTAAAAGTAATTGGAAGAAATGTTCCTTTGACTAAGGAACCAAGCTGTTTCGTGACCTAAATTTATGTCCATTCCAGCTGCTTAAATATAACATTAAATTGAGTATGTTTTGTATTCTACCAGTTTAAAAAAAAAAATAGTATGGATAATACAAAGTCAGGAGACCTGGATTCTGGCTCTAATTCTGTGATACAGTCATTTTCCTTGTCTGAATTATAATTTCCTAATGTCTTTCTAAATCTGCTTTTGAGTCCCATAAAACATCTATAATCAATTTTGTCATTAAAGAAGGCTTATGAATTATGTAAGTCAACTCATTACCCATGTGTCTGACATGTATTTGATAGAAATCTTGTAAATAAGCAATATGTTTCTCAGTGTGTGAAGGAACTATTGTTACTTCTGTTAACCTTTATAAACCAAAAAAGAAAGTGTGATGGTTTTTGGTCCTGTTAAATGTATTGAAATGAGAAAAGAGATTTGACAGAAGACACATGAAGTAGAAAGCATAATCCTGGACGTCAAGTTCTTTTCCTTTCACACCTAATTTCTTGTGTCTAAGTGTTCTATATGATTTCTTGATCTAAAATGAAGAAACGATTTAATTTTTCCAGCTCTGTAATTAGTTTCAGCTCTTATATATACATACATAAATCTTGACTTTTACTTAGACCTCAGGATATGAGATTTGGAGCTAGGCAGCCTGAATTTTCATCCCACCTGCCCTGTTTATTCATTAACTATGTAACATTGGGCCATATTAGCTGTTAGCTGTTAGGTTCATTTGTGAAATGGGTATAATTGAACTTCATAGGATAGTTTTTAATGATTAAATGAGATAATGCGTGTAAAGCACTTAGTATAGTATCTGCATAGTAATAATGACCTGCTAGTGATTAGACTCAGTAATTGTCAAAATCCAGAGAAAAATATATCGGATACTTTAAGTGAAATAATTACTGTATAAAATGTTCTTTTCCCCATTGGGATAATTGCAGGGTTGTTTACTACTGCCTCAGATAATGACCCATAATTTAAGATTATGATACATATGTGTTCTCTTTAAGAGAAGTGACCAAAGGATGTTCAGGGTTGAGGATTATTAAGTATAAAATAGGCCGTGAGGGAATGTACATTCAGAACATACACTTGTTAAATTTCTAATTATTATCAGCACATTGACTTGAAATCCTTAAAAATAGTTACAACATTACTTCTGTAGAAATGATGACTGGGAGGAGGGAAAATTATAACTGGCCTAAGTAGTAAAGCCAAAAGAATCGTTTAAAATATAAAATACCTGGGACATATGCATTTTTTTCTCTATTTTTGTCTATAGTTTCCCCCGCCCGTCAGTCCACTTGAGTACATTTGACATGACTATAGGACATACCTTGGAATAAAACAACTGTTTAGTACTTCTCTGAGAATTGGAATGTTAACTTCTATATAAGTTTATATAATTTAATTTTTTTCATTTATGATTAGATCAATGGTGGAAGTAGTATTGGGACAGCTTAAAAAAATAAAATAATTTATGTAAGCATGTAAAATTTCATAGAAGTTTAAAGCCATATGGTACTTTAGCGGGGAGCATTTTAGATGTCTGAAGTCACTTTGTTAAAAACAAAAAGACCTTCATAAAACCCAATTTTTAAAATCATACTTAACTCATTTTGGATGTGAAAGCCTATAAAGACTATTCCACATGCTGTTTTCATTGCCAAGTTTTTCCCAACTTAGTTGGGAACAGTCACAAAGATGTTTTTTTCTACCACATTCTGTAAAACAGATTTGAATGAGGCTGTATTTCTTCCTCTCTTAAGCTTTCATTTTGTTTTACATATTACTGAATTGTTGAATTTTTAAGACTTAAGATGATAGCAGTATACTTTGGTAGTTGTAGAATATATTTGTATTCAGTTTTTTAAAAAATCTTTGACAAAGTTTTTCTTATTTTCTTTACTAACTTACTTAATTTTAATTCAACTTACTTGGGGGCCAGTGCTCACAGTTCTGGCTATTGGCATATGATAGAGTAAGGAACAAAGCAGATACAGTTCTTGATCCTGTAGACCTTAACAATCAATAGATTATTGAGTATATTCATCTCCAAATTTGAATTTAGGACATATTTTTATATTTAATAGTATGTTTTTTTGAGTGATTTTTTTTCCCCCTGCTTATCCCTAGTTAGTGTCTATTGCATCATAAGTACGTTGGCTTTATCTTTGCTTTAATGTGGGAGCCCAAAGTAGTAGGAACTGTTTACATACATTTTATTATTGAATGTTATATTTTTACAAACACTTTTGTAATATATATGCAGTTGGTAAATGGATGTATGGATAGGTTATTTGACATCATGTCCTTTAAAGCTTAATGCTATATATGAAAATAGTAAACAGTTTATTAGCTGCTCTCTAGTATCTTTAAGAATATGTATAAGCAGAACACTGTTTTTAGTAGTAGCCTTAAAGTATTTTGACTGACATTTATTCACTGTTAAGAAATAGTATCTCAAAAGAAGTTAAGGTAAATATAGTATTACGTAAGTTCTATGGATGCTTCTATATACAGTGAAATATAAGTGATTCCTTTTTTGGCTTGGGGAGCATTTATATGTTTAGACTTTTGAAATTAGTAAGTTAAGTAAGCATGAAGTGGAAATTTGAAATTATTAGACCAGTAATCAAACAAATCGGATATTTGACTTTTAAGTATTTTAAAAATTAAGTGGAGGTGTGGAATAGATTTAGGAGAGAGAGAATAAACAATTTTATCTGTGCTTAGAGGTTTTTTCATGTGTTGTCTCATGTGTGGAATGTAGAATTTAGTGGTTATTAGGATGACTAGGGTTCTTTATAGATGAGAGAACTGAGCTTATTTTTGGTTGATTACCCAGACTCTCCCACAAAGCTAATAAATGCTAGATTTGATATTTGTGTCCAGGCTTGACTCCAAAGCTCTACATCTTTCTGTTTTACTACGTTTTCATAACAAATGTTCTACTACTTTGTTGGTAATACAAGAAGCCAATGGATCTAGCATATTTTATTCTAACTTTAGTTCTAAAAAGAAAATAGAATAATTTTATGGACACCTAAGTGTCTTAAATGTTTTTATGCGTTCATTTATGCTGTAAACATTTAGTTTGCTGAAATAAATGGTCCTAGACATACTATTTCAGTGTAACATAAGATAGAAGTGGAGACAAGTTGAGGATATGTACAGGTTCGTTCTTGTGAGAGTTTAAAGCAATTTAGCTTGCCTAATGTAGCATTCTTAAGGTTTGCAAAACTGTAACCTTGTCTTCATCTGTAATGACAGTTGCTCATTGCTGAAGAAACTGGTCAATGTAGACAACTGACTGTAATTTTCCTTCAGTGAATTAATAAGTATCTCTTTTGAATATCACAAAATAAGATAACTTTGGTGCTGTTTTTTCAACTTCTCTTAGAAGTTCTATAAAAACCACAAAATTTAAGAGACTACATTTAAGATGGAATAATGTTAAAATTAATTTTTTTGTTGTTTTAGCACTTTTTCAGCCATTAACTCCAGGCTCTCGAGAATTCGAAGATGTTCTAAATATTCTCCATTCATCTTACCTTGAACCAACCTCGGTAACAAATTTTAACTACAAACGTGCTTGCTTGATACATAATGAACTTTTGGAAAAGGAGGTATGTTTTAAATTGTGCTTATTGTAAGATTCTTTAGAACCAGTTAATAGCCTGGAAGTTGGTTTATGTTCCTTTTCTTTAAAAATGCTTATTAGGAAAGCCAAATTATGGAAAGGAGAACAAGTTTTAAATGACATCTTTTTTCTTCTAAATATTGATGTATCACTATTTATCTGGATAAATTAATGTTCAATTATGTAAAATAACTTATTAAAAATTAATCTTAAGCATAGGAATAGCTTACTGTATAATGGCCTAATTATAAATTTATAAGGCCCTTTGCTCTTTTAAGTGCTTATTAAATGAAATTTATAATCTGTATTATGTTTCAGTTGGAAGATAATTAGTGAAATCAAATGTGTATTTTTTAAAGATGTGCTTAATTTTTTTCCCCAATTACTGACTAGGAGTAGAATTCTCTTAATATCACTAGTAGAAATTCTTAGTGGAAAAGTATAAACAAAGTATTAAGTTTCATGTACAAATTTAGAATATTTTTAGGAAAAGCCAGAATGCATAATTCTGAGGTAATATAAATGAGATGTTTAGCAATATTTTATGTGTTTATTGTTTCCTAATGCACATGAAATACTATTAATTCTGTACTTTTGTGTGTTGGTTAACCCAGTGCTACCAGAATTGAGTTTTGAGGGAATCTGTGACATTACTGGCTCCCCAAGAAAATTAAAACCTTGATAGTTTGTTTTGGTTTCATGGTATGATAGGAGTTATTTATTAATTTTAATGAATTTTATATGAAAATTTACTCTAATGATAGATTAATCATATTACTGAACATCAGTAATGGCCTGAATACTGCATATAAATCTGTTAGATGTGAGCTCCATAGTTTGAATATGTATCTGTTTGCTTGTATCTAAAAGTCAAAGTCAGTTTTGGGTGACTTGCAGTTTAGTTATACTTAGACAAAGTCGCTTCTTTTATCCTGGCAATACGTATGGAGCTTGTCTTACATAGTTGGCATTGAGGCTATAGTTATAAAGAAATGAAACCTTTTCCATGTTCTAATTGAGTTTATAGTCCAAAAGTTGGTCATTCAGCAGAGATTTATTAAATCACCTACTGTATGCAGTTCATCATGTTAAGTAAACTGAGAGATCCAAAGGTAACTAAAACATGAAAAATTTGTGGGAGATTTGGAATGTGGTAAAATTTTAATAGAAATTTAGTTAAAATTGATAAACATTAGATGCTTATTTGATTATTATGAGGTAAAGAGCTAGTTAGAATGAGGAAAAAAATTGAAGCACAGAAATCACAGGGAGAGAAAACATAATTTCTACTTTGGTTATATTTTGGATTTCTTAGGAATAAAATTACTGAAGATCTTAGCTTGAAAGACATAATCACATACTAAGGAGTTGTTATAGATTTAATTTTGTTTAGTTCACAGAAAAGCGAAGAGAACTGAAGTTTGATGGTCGTTTAGATAAAGAACTTTCAGAATCCTATGCATTTCTTATGGTTGATCGATACCAGGTGAGTTAACTCTTAAACGATTTGAAGATATTTCCATTGTAAGTTACTAGTTTTGAATGTAAGAATACACTTGATAATTATAAACTGGTATTTTATAAGTTAGTATAAATGATATGATGTGTAAATGGAAGAAATGATTTAGTAGGGCAAGGTATTTCATTGTCATGTGATTTGCTTTTCAGATGTACTTTTGCTTTAAATTTGCTTTTCAAATGCTCTGACCAAACCTGTTTTCTTTCCTTAGGATGTGCTAGATAATGAATAAACTTCCCTTTATTAAAATAGATTATCTTCTATATTGTTATATGTGCTGGGAACCATTTTTTTCTCCTTCAATTGAAGATGTTTAGGTGGAAGTTTTATTTAAATATTTTGCCAGTTCTAATTCTCTCTAAAAGGGAAGTTTATATATGTGAGTGGCATGAATTTTGACTATCTGTCACACCTAGTATAAACGAAAATGGATTCCAGCTATGGTTACATTGGAAGCATAAGCCAGGTTCACATTGATATTTAGTTATAAACTGTCATATATATAAAATTCCTTAATGTAGAACCTACATAGTTTAGAAGCTTGGGTTTTATTTAGAGCAAGTTTACAAATTATCTTTTCATGTTTGTAATGTAATGATTGTGAGATGAACTATTTTGTTTATTTAGGTCCAAAGCATATGTGAAAAAGGATTACAGGTGGGCCAGTCCAAAATAACAATTCTTGGCAGTCCTTCCATGGGTAATCTTTTTTTTTTTTTCCCATTTATCTACTATTAAGTTGCCACTGGAACATACATTATTTAATTTTGCTGCATTCCTGAAAATTAAATTCATGTATGCCTTGTTATGTTCCTAGAAGAGGATAGTTTCAGGTTCTATAATGTAAAACTAGTTTTGCCCTTTGTTTCTGATTTTGCATACTTCAAATTGATCAGAAATTACCTCTCTTTTTTTTTTTTTCTTTCTTAAAGTCAGTCTAGTCCTGGTGATTTTGAGAAATTTGGGTTTTGTTTTTTTTTTCTGTTTCTTCTTGTTTTTGCTTTTTTCTGGTTCTTTTTGTTTTTGCTTTTTCTGTCTTCGTTAAATATCAGCTATCTTTACTGTCATTATTTTTTTTTTAATATGTCATACCTTTTATCTTTCATCATTAGGTTAAAACCGGAATTTGTGTGTGGGTATGTGTATGTGTGCCCTTATTCAAATTCTTTAATTTTTCCCTCTTCGCTAGGTATCTATCTTTCTAGGTATGCTGATTTATTACAAGCTAATCCTTTGGAAGCTGGGGCTGTGGGCGATGTTGTTATTTTTAAAATAATGAAGGTAATTTTAACATTTACATTTTATATATCAAGGACAACATTTGATTTGGATTTTAGTTGGCCCTGTGTTTAGTAGGAGTTTGATTAAATTAAATTCAGAGGTTGCTTAGTTTAGTATATATTTTTGAGAGTGGTTTGCCATCTTTGATCTATTTGATTTCCCTTCCAAAGAAAAGAATGAAAAGAGTAATATGTTGGTAATGTCATTTAGGCTAGTGAATGGTGTTGTAAATAAAATTTTTTTTCCTTGTTAAGCAAATTCAAACAGACTTTTTTTTCATGATTGTCTTTTTTACTGCTTCAACATTGATAAAAGGTGTTGAGTGTTACCAGGTATTAAAGGAAAGAACTGTTGTCATAGGTGATCTATGTTTTATAATGTTATATATATAGTCAATAACTAAGTTTAGGTCTTAAACTTTAAGTCTTAAACTTAAAAGGTTTTGTCTATTTTAGGGTAAAATAAAGAGTATATACGACCCCATGGGTGTAAAAAGTTTGGAATCTATATTAAATAAAAGTGCTTTGGACCCAACACCAAAGCATGAATGTCATGTGTCAAAGAATGCCAATAGAATTACATCACTTTTGGCTTACAGAGCCTATGAGCTTACTCAGGTAGGTACCTGGTTTCATTTCAGTGTTATGACTTCATATCTGTTTGTCACCAAATCCTTTAAATCGTTTCCCTTTCTGTACCTTCTGCCACCACATCAGTCTAACCTCTGGTTTCCATATAACACTACCAGAGTGTCTCTCATTGCTCTTTGTTCAGTGTTTTCAAAACAGCTCAGAAACATACTATGGCTCCCTAGATTTACAGAGTAATACTGAGATTCCTTAGTCTACTTCTTCCAACTTGGCATTTTGTATGATCGCTGTCTTCAAACACCTCATTTCATTTTGAAGCTTTGGCTTCTCTTGGCCTAAATTCTGGCCTAGAAAGATCTGCCTAATAAAATCCCCTTAAAAATTCAAGGGGTAAAGTTGAAGCCCCTTGAATTACCTTAATTCATGTAATTTTATACTATTGATTTGATAGGTGTTATTTATTTTAATTTACATTTTTCTAAGATGCAAACTTAGAATTTTATGCTTTATTCAGATATAATTGATATACAGTAAAAAAGTGTGTATTTGCCAAATTATAGTCATTATATTTTTGTATGATTTTTGACTACAGTAGTCTTCCCCCGGCTCTTATCCTCAGGGATACCTTCTGAGGCTCCCTGGTGGATGCCTGACACCGTGGATAGTACTGAACTCTGTATATATTATGTTTTTCCTATGCCTGCATACTTATGATAAAGTTTAATTTATAAATTAAGCACACAGTAAGAGATTAATCACAATAATAATAAATTATAACAGACTACAAAATTACTGTGGTCTCTCTCTCTAAAAATCTCATTGTGCTATATTCATCCTTGTGATGATGTGAGATGATAAAATGCCTGCGTGATGAGATGAAATGTGGTGAATGATACAGGCAGTAGGCACTAGACATAGTGTTAGGCTACTGTTGACCTCCTGACTGTTTGTCAGAAGGAGGAACATCTGCTTCTGGACTATGGTTGACCACAGAAGCTGAAACTGGAAGGTGAAACTGCGGGTATGGGAGAGGCTACTGTATAAAGTAATGAATCTTATTTTTTTTTAACAAATGTATAAAAAATGTATATAGCCAGATGAATTGTGTGGGAAAAGGAGTGGTATACTAATACCTCTGGAGATGCTCTTTTTTTTCTTTCTTTAATCTTCACTTTATTTATGTAAAATAAAATTTGTTCTTCCTTCTTTTTTTTTAAACACTCAGTTGTAAGTGAAACTTTTTTAAATTGAAGTATAATTTACTCTTTTTGAAGACTGAATGGGCAAGACATATTGTTGGGGGCTTTTAGCAAAAATTGTATTCATCAGAGTCATCTGGGTTGGCTCATTTGATTTTACTTTTTGGACAGTAGTTGCAGAATTCAGTAACTTTTAAATAGTATTTTTCTAACAGAACTTGTAAACCAGCTTGATGTTTCCAAAAAATTTTCAGGCATTTTTAGAGCAGCAACAACATTATTGAAATTAGTAGTTTCCCAAGGGAATGGACTTTGAAGGACAATGCTTTGTTTGTAAACTAGGACTTTTTTTTTTTTTTAATGAAAATCACTAGTCTGCAAGTCACAAAACCCTAATGAATATTGTGAATAGGTGTAGGGGAGAAGTAGATGGGTAGAAAGAAGAGAATTAGCTGCCTTTGTCACCTGTGTTCATAATCTCTTCCACCACCTCTTTGCTGCTTGGTCTGCAGTTGGAACCAAGAATATGTTTTTCTTTTCAAATAATAAACAGGGGTACCTGGGTGGCTCATGTCTGTCTTGGCTTAGGTCTTGGATCAAGTCCCCCGTCACGTTCCTTGCTTATTAGCAGGGAATCTCTTCTCCTTCTGCCTCTCCCACCCACCAGCTTGTGCTTTCTCTCTTGCTCATTCTCCCACTCAAATAAATAAATAAAATCTCAAGAAAAAATAATGAACAAAATGCTAGATTTGGTTGAGATTGTGTCTTTAGTTAGCATTTTACTTTTTTGCATCAAATAGACTTTTCTGGGCTGACTTGGGAGCTTACAAATGTCCATTTGTAACATTTTTATGAGGGCATTTGTTGCACATTCCCAGCGGTCAGCTTTTCAGAAGGAAGCTTTTAGAGTACCCATTAGTGCATCTAAGATAGATAAGATAGAGAAGTAGAATATTTTATATCATAAAATGAATATAAAGTACAGATTATTTTTAAAAAATTGACAAGCCGTGCTTAAAGACCATTTCTGTTAGAGGTACTTTTAAATGGTGTTATATTTCTCAAAAATCAGGCAAATAAAGATTCTACTATGTACATCTTGCCTTCTTACAGAAGTTAATTTTGCATTTTCTTATTTTTAGTATTATTTTTATGAGTATAGCTTTGATGAACTCAGGCGAAGACCAAGACATGTGTGTCCATATGCGGTTGTGTCTTTTACTTACAAAGATGATATACAAACTCCAAAGTTTGTGCCTTCATCAAGGTAAGACTTAGGAGTTTTTTACATCATCCCAAATATTATTTTACATGTCCTGCCTTGCTGAATTAGGAAGAACTCTTTGTTTTCTCCCATTTTTTTTTCTTACCTTGCAGTTAATTAAATGCACGAGTGTTCATGATGACTTTTAAAAGGTCAGTGTGAAGAACGTAATTTATATGGAAATACAAACTAAAATTTACTTAACCCTCACCAGTTAACCCTTTTTCTCTTGATACTGAAGTTTTGCATAGTTGAGTAAAATGTAGTTTTTAGAAGTGAAATTTTGTGTATTAGCTCTCCTAAAAATGGGGAGCTTCTATAAAAGATACTCTAATTCCACCTCAAACAATTAAAAAATCAAATGTTTATTAAGGAGTCTAGGCATTAGTAATTTTTAAAACTTCTAGGTGATTGATTTTTATTGAATTGAGTACCACTCGTGATTTCTTATAAGCTCTAATGTAAAGTGATCAAATATAAAGCAGTTTCCATTATTTTTTTCCCATATGGTGATTCCAGAAAAATGTTGGTAAAATTGATACCTATTAATATAGAAAGACTGTTTTAAAAAGCCACATTTCATGAAATACATACATTTTTGAGGTCAGTCCTTACATTGGTTTTCCAGATCAAATCATGTGTTCATTTTTTTCATGTCAGCAAGTAATCCTGGTAACCATCCATCCATAGCCATAAGTAGTACTTCATATGATACCCAGACACTTGTGATTTTTCATTTTTCTCATGGCTCTATATTTATGATTTCCATGATATATTTATATTAGTGCCTTTACAGTAGTAATCTTTAAAAGGCACCCAGCACTTAATTATGAGGTCATACCTCCAGGAATAGTAATTTTCTTTGCTTCTTCTTTGAGTCCATCCTTTGATCTCTGTATCATTAAAAATGAGCATTGATTGAACCCATTGCTGTATGTTGAATGCTGCCATAAATGCTTCTGCTGCAGGCCCTCTACATTTGCTCTTCTCTTTTCCCAATTCATGGCATCATTTACATTTAACACCTTATCAGATCTCTCCTTAAAGGTGACCTTATCAGCAAGGTCTTCCATGATTTTTATTTTTAACCCCATATGCTTAATTTCTTTTTCTTTTTCTCCATGGCACTTAAAGCCATCATCATGTGGTAAACTATTTATTTAATTTTTGATTGTTATCTGTTCTCTTCACGAAATTGTAAACTCTGTGAAGGCAGGGGCTTTGTTCATCCTGGTAATCCTGTTACCTAGAACTGTGCCTGGTAAATAATAGGTGCTTAGTAAATATTTATTGACTAGGTTTAATATTGAATATTTAATTTAATAATAAACATTTAATAATAAATAGGTTTAAGTATATATTGAGGCTATCTTCAAATCTCATCACTAAAATAAAGTAATTTACAGAGACTTTAAGGGACTTTGATGACTGTTTTTGGAAAAAAATACCTAATATAAATTTGGACAGATACGGTAGTTTAAGACAAGTAATTGATTTCTTCATGTAGGTTTGGATCTGTTAAATGTTGTAATAAGTAGTTAATATGTTTTTCCTACTTGGATGAAGGACTTAATTTTCTTGTACATTATACCATTAAAAATAGCACTATGTCAAGGTCTTGAATGTTAACTTTCTTGTTACTGATGAGTAATGTTTTTCTTTTTTTGTTTTTTAATTTGTTTATAGAGCTAACAGTTTCAATGCAGATAGAAACACAGGTAAGATTCTTTTATTTTCTTTAGTTTTGTAAATTGAAAAAATAAGTACATATGGTAAAAAATTAGTGTTTTGCTTTATTTTTATAATGAACAAAAATCTGGAAAGTCAAAGGAGGTGAGGCCATGTTATGATGTAGCTTCAACATTTGGTTGTTCAAGCATAAGGTCTCTCTTAGAAGCTGCTGATACTGTGAATAGATCAAAGGATTTTAGTACTTTGATAAATGTAAAAAATAAAACAAGCTTCACAACTCAGCTTTTTAAAATACTGTATTTATCAGAGGTTTAGGATTTATAAGACCTAGAGAAGATGAAAGCAATACTGACATTTTCTGTCATCAAGTTTCTCCACAATGAAAAGAGAGTGAATAGAGGTATGAGATGCTATAGGAATTCATGTAGTTAACTGGATTTAATATAGTCTCCTTTGGGGGAAATAAGAGGGCAGTAAACATATTGTCTTTGCTCTTCAACTTTCTGATAAGACATTTAGACAAATAGATTTGTTGTTTTTTGCAGCTGGAATAACCCTGCAAGGGAAAAGATACTGAAACAAAAATCCTAATATTTGAATTCTCATGTAAATAGGAATGTCGTGCGTGTTTTTTGTTCATTTTGTTTTTCGTTGTTGTTGCTGTTCTTCTACTTAATCATTGTTTCTAGATGTGTTTCCCTTATTTCTGTATAGGAAACATGTATTTGCTTCTGGGCTGCTAGTGGCTGAATTGTGTTATTCTTTTTATTTAGATAAATTTAACTACACCTTGTGGAAAGGACAGCTTTTAAATAAAGGAAAGCTTTTGTGTTATATTTCTCTGAGGTCAGCCACTCGTGCTTTTTTGCCTATCAAGCTGTAAGTATGTTATTTTATAAGAAAACAGCAATTAATCGTTGCTAATTATTCACTTTCTTCTTTTGTTTTTTATTCTTTTATTTAAACTTTACTTTGATCCAAAAGAATATAAATGTCAATTTGTTTTAAAAAAAAATTGGCAACTTGGGAGACTTAGTTGGCAAAGTGAGCCCTCTACTTTTCTGTCTAGGTTTGAGAGTGGGCTAAATAGTCATACACATTTATGGCATAAAACTTTTTCTGAGTGATTTTAAATTTTGAAAGTGATTTTTTTCAGAGTTTTTTCCTAATTAGATATATTATTCATTTAGTAATTTGAATATGATAGACTTAAAAGTTAATCAGTTCTTTGTTGGAAACTGATATTGTGAGTTGTTAAAATTTACAGACTGTTTTCAGTCCTGTGCGGCATATATTGGAATAGAAAGATCTAGAATGATCTTTTGCTACCATCCCAGTGAATATTATGGGCCTTCATGGATGTTTGAAGATTACTTTAACAGTTCATACTTGAATTATCTTTAATAAAAGGACAGCATTTTATCCTTTTTGGTTTAGTAAAATTGGGGTATAGAATTAGCTTCTTGCTTAAAGATGGAAGGTTGGTGATATTCCGGGCTTTTTTCCTACTTCTGTATATCTAGACTTTCCATATCAAATCCTCTTTAGAATCAGCTATGATATTAATAAGTATGCTCTGCTTTCCACCAAGAGCCTTGTGGGGAAGGGGAAGGAAATAACATTACTAGAGTTAAACATACAGGTAAGGCAAACATGTCTTTTCAATTTCTTTTCAGCCCTGAGAAGTTAGATGTTGAAACAGTTATGAGTATTGATCATCTGAAGCAGAAAGTTCCTCCAGCGCTGTTTTATAAGGAAACATACTTAGGTCCAAGTGAAGGTAAGTAATTTAATTTTATTAATATATGTAAAAAAACATTTGATTTGAATATTTACTATGTATTTTTTCTTATGACAGTTTTGAAGAATGGAATGTATTGCAGCCTTTATGAAGTTGTAGAAAAAACAAGAATTGGAAGTAACATGGAGAGTTTACTACAAAAACTAGAGAAAGAAAAACTTGTGAGTGAAAGGTTTTAAAATGTTCCTCATTCTCCCTTAGAAATAAGTATTTGAATAAGTGATCATATTATTTCAGTTTATTTCATTTTTGCACTCTGAAAGTACCATAAGGTCTCGGTCTTCATTGCTACTATTCAGCAAACGGTTTTACTATGGCCGTTAGTAACCTGTTTTGCTAGACCTTCTGCAAGCCAGTGTTCCCCCTGAAGTGTCTTTACTGTATTTTGTGATTGTGACAACAAATACTTACTGAATACCATTTTCTTATGTAGAATGTATACTTCAGTAAAAAATGAGACTATTCTGGATTACACAGTGATAAATGGAGTTCATCCAATAGATATGGTTTGTTTCACTAGAGACAGTGCTGTATTTGAAGATTCAGAAAGAACAAGATGCTTGGTGAGGTTGAAAAGAAATAAAGGAACAACACTAGAGTAGTTGAGAGAAAGTGGTAGGACTTGAGGCTAGAAAAGTGTGTAGGGGGCTGTGTCCTGCAGCGTTTGTAGGCAGTGTTCAAGTGATTGGAAGTTTGGATGTAACCCTAAGAGCAATTGGGTTTGTTTTTTTTCTTACATACTTATTTATTGACAGAGAAAGAGAGATATCACAAGTAGGCACAGAGGCAGTCAGAGAGAGACGGGGAAGCAGCCTCCCTGCTGAGCAAGGAGGCCAACGTAGGACTCGATTGCAGGACCCTGAGATCATGACCTGAGCCCAAAGCAGAGACTTAACCCACTGAGCCACCCAGGCACCCCAGCAATTGGGTTTTAAAGGGAGTAGCATGAGGTTTTGATTGTGTGTGAGACATGATCACATCTGTGTTTTGGAAATTTATCTGGTTACTCTGTAAAGAACTAACTGAAGAGGGGAGATGAGGCATTACATTAGAGGGTGATAGTGGGTTGGAGGAGAAAGGTAAGAATGATCATATAAGAGACTGATTTAAGGGATATTTGCTAGATAATACCTAAACAGATACCAATTTTACTGAGTTCAGATATAGATTATTAGGTCAGACATCAGTTGTGATGGGTTCAGGAAGGAGCAGAAAATTCACGCTATTACGCATAGTTTAGCTGAAGGGAGAGGAGGTAGTTACAGAGGAGAGGGGCTCATGTTCACATGTTGATGGGACATTTCAGTAGAGAGGAGAAGTTTTTTTGCACAGGTATGCCATCTAGTAAGTTTTTCAGCAGTTGACTTCCTTTTACTTCTCACTTTGTTGAGCCTCGATTTCCAGGTAGTCAAATGGAGGTTAGTATCAATGATTTTCAGAACTTACAATTGCATTTTTAATGGCTTTGTAGAATTTCATTGTATACATATATGTTTATGGGTGGGAGAGTCAAATTATATGCAAAACTTAGAGGCAGAGTTTATACACTTATGAATTGGTGGACACCTAACAATAACTTTTTTTTAGATTTTATTTTTCTGAAGGACAGAGAGAGAGCGTGTGAAAACACAAGCAGGGGGAGGGGCAGAGGGAGAGAGAGAAGTAGGGTCTCCCCTGAGCAGGGAGCCGGGTGTGGGGCTCCATCCAAGTACTCTGGAATCGTAACCTGAGCTGAAGGCAGATGCTTAATTGAGCCACCCAGGCGCCCCTAACAATAACTTTTTGACTAACCAGCTAGAAATCTTCGGGCTAGGCATCTTAGAATACACACTACATACACATGCACATTTGCTACATATGGATATACTTTTGTATTTACATTTCTTATTTTGTTTTGAAATACAACTATTCCTCATAACCAAAATCTGTTTAATTCCAGAGTTCAGGAAGTGAAAGTTTAGATGGTAGGTTTGGATATGGTGAGATATTGGTTATCCAAATCTCTTTGGTTCTTGCATTTCAGAGAATGAGTACTGAGTCTTGACAGTGAGGAGTTTATCAGAGAATTATAATATCTGTTCCATTTCTAGTAGTGAGAGTCAGGATAGGAAGATACTGGTATTTTATTCTTTACCTGAGCAAATATTATACTAGGTTCTTGGAGGACTGGGTTTTCCCAGAATTAAGAAATAAAGATTCTGTAGCTTAGAGGGCATGAATGTTCCACAAGGATACACTACCTGAATCTAATGGACCCTGGGTATTTTATGGAGTTATACATTTTCCTACAAACCTCCGTGGAAATTATTCTAATTACAGCTACTTTCTTCATAGTTCTAATGATGATGGAAGATGCATTGAGGATTGTTGGGTTCTCAGTAATTTTATCTTGAGTACGTACACAGTATTATCGATCAGAGATTTAATGAATACCTCACAATAATAAATATGTTAGCCTTCCTTTGCCCTCATCCTTAACCTTAGGGCAACCCAAGGAAAGACAGGTCTGTTATCCTAGGCAAGTAGCTGGACATTCCACAGGCAAAGGACAAGGAAAAATGGTTTTTCTTTGCTTATTAAAGGAAGGAGGCTACTATTTCCCTCCCCTCCTGGAAAGTTCTCCTTGAAAATGTAATGGGGGCGCCTGGGTGGCTCAGTGGATTAAAGCTTCTGTCCTCGGCTCAGGTCATGATCCCAGGGTCCTGGGATCAAGCCCCACATCAGGCTCTCTGCTCAGCGGGAAGCCTGCTTCCCGCCCCCACTCTCTGCCTACCTCTCTGCCTACTTGTCATCTCTGTCAAACAAAATCTTAAAAAAAAAAAAAAAGGGTAAAGAAAATGTAATGAATATTAACTCCAACCCTGTAGTAATAAATAAAATCTCTTCATAAGCTGCTTAGCTTTCTGGGACTAAAGACATCTCCAAGTTTCTGGGACTCCTTCATCGTTGAAATATTAATACCTAAGTCTTCCTGGCACGTTGGGGCTTGACATAGGAACTAATCTGTTCTGTAACCTCTTGGCCCCCTTGTGTACTCACTTGGCACTCTCAGGGAGATAAGGGGAATTTAATTATCCTTTTCTCTCAGAGCAGTTACTTAGGTAATTGACTACAGATCTAATTCTGAAAATATGTGAGGAGTAAAATATTTCTGGGGGAATGAAAGCAAACATTCCCTATCTTTATATTTACTTGTCTGTGTATTCGAAGGCTAGTTTTGATAGAGGAGCACCGAAACATCTAGGGAAATTTTATTTTCACACAGGGAGATTTATAATGTAAGTAAAATTATATTGAGCTCTCTTTTGGTAGGGGTAAGTTAATAATTTTTTTTTTAAGATTTTATTTATTTATTTGACAGGGAGAGAGAGAGGTCACAAGTAGGCAGAGAGGTAGGCAGAGAGAGAGGGGGAAGCAGGCTCCCCACTGAGTAGCGAGCCTGATGTGGGCCTCCATCCCAGGACCCTGAGATTATGACCCAAGCTGAAGGCAAAGGCTCAACCCACTAAGGCACCCAGGCGCCCAAGTTAATAATTCTTAAAGCTAACTTAATATAAAGGAAAATGATGGATGTTCCTAAATTTGAATGTTATTTCTGATGTGAACATTCTATATATTTCCTGGTGTACATGTACAAGAATTTTTTTCTCTTGGATATATATTTAGCATATTAGATTTATTATCTATAAGTAGAATTATTGAATCATAACATAAACATGACTGGCTTTACAAGATAATGCGATACTGTTTTAAGTATACTAATTTATATCCCCTACTATGAGCAAGTTCTCCTTAATTCACACAGTCACTGATAAAGTCAGACTGTAGCAAAATCTACAAAAGTTGTGTAGTTATAACTATAGTTGTAGTTACAACTATATTGTACTGTGATTTTAGCCAGTATTTTCCTGAGATATGAGTCGATCATCCTTTTATAAATTTATTTTAGTGTTCACTTGCCTGTTTTTCCTTTGGGTGGCTTATGTTTTCTTACTAATTTGAGGAATTTTGTATATATTTTGGGTACTAATACTGAGGTACATGTGCTAGAATGTTTTTTTTTCATAAGCTGCTTGCCTCTTTACTTTATTCATGGTGAGTTTTTTGAAGAACAGATGTTCTTAATCTAATTAAATTTATCTGCCTGAGTTTTAAGCACTGTTTGTGACTTTAAGAAATCTTTCCTTACCCCTAGATTTTACAGATACTGCCCTAAGTTTTCTTGTGAATGTGTTATGATTTTGCCTATGTGGGTTTTGTTTTTTTTTTGCATGATATAATGTAGGAATCCAACTTCACTTTGATGAGTAACAAGTATGAATAACAAGTTGTTCTGAACCATTTATTGAATAGTCTCACCTTTCTCCACTAAGAAGCCTTGATAGGAGGTAGAGCCAACTGCCCCACTTTTTTCATCCTTTTTAGGAGTGTTTTGCTTTATGACATTCAGCTTTTTTCAAAAATTTAAGTTTCAATTTGCTTTTTAAAAAAAAATTTTAGAATCAGCTTTAAGGTTCCTCCTCCCAAACCCTCTTCTCCCCCCGCCAAAAAACCCCTACCGGGATTTTTTAATTGGAATTTTATTAAATCTGTAGATCACATTTGACAGAATAGATGCCTTTTGTGATACTGTCTTACCCATGAACAAGATTATCTCTTCATTCCTTTAGGATATTCTTTTTTTTTTTTTTTTTTTTTTTTAAGATTTTATTTATTTATTTGACAAACAGAGCAATCACAAGTAGGCAGAGGCAGGCAGAGAGGGGGAAGCAGGCACCCTGCTGAGCAGAGAGCCTGATGCGGGGCTTGATCCCAGGACCCTGAGATCATGATCTGAGCTGAAGGCAGAGCCTTAACCCACTGAGCCACCCAGGCATCCTTATTTTGTTCTTTTTTATACATTGTTTGGGATTGCTGTATAGACTTTATCATCTGAGAACTACATTGTTGTATTTTTTCCCTCTCCTTTCCTTTAGCTTTTTATTTCTTTTTCTTATATTACTGTGTAATGTAGGCTCTCTAGTACTACAATGTTGAATAAAAGTGGTGGTTGTAGGCATTCTCTTATCTTTTTGAACATGTCTAACATCAGTCACTAGGTAGGAAGTTTGCAGTAGGTTTTTCAAAATCTCTTCATTAGTTTAAAAATTTTCTTCATTTTTGAGACAAACCATAAGTGACTCTTAATCTCACAAAACAAACTGAGGGTTGCTGGGGGGTTAGGAGAGGGGGGTGGGGTTATGGACATTGGGGAGGGTATGTGCTATGGTGAGTGCTGTGAAGTGTGTAAACCTGGTGATTCACAGACCTGTACCCCTGGGGATAAAAATGTATTATATGTTTATAAAAAATAAAAAAATAATATCTATTTTCTACTTGCAAAAAAAAAATTTTTTTTTCTTCATTTTTTTAACCATGATGGGTTTTGAATTTATTGAATGCTTTGGGAGGGCCTTTATCAAGATGGTAACATGGTATATTGGTGTATTAGGGTCCTCCAGAGGAACAGAACTTGTAGGATGTACACATACAGAAAAAGGTTTATTATAAAGAATTGGCTCACACAGTTATGGAGGCTAAAAAGTTCCAAGATTTGCAGTCAGCAAGCTGGAGATTCAGGAGAGCTTATATGTTAAACTCATCCAAAAATATTCTCAGAAATAGCTAGAATAAAGTTTGACCAAATATTTGGACACCCTGGCCTGGTCAAGGTGACACATAAAATGAACCATCACATGTAGAATTTATCCTGTAGACTTATAAGATGAATTATATTTTATCTTTTTCCAGTATTAAACTGTATTTGTTTTGCTGGTTACGAACACCAACTCCAGGGCGCCTGGGTTGCTCAGTTGGTTAAGGATCCAACTCTTGATCTTGGCTCAGGTCTTGATCTCATGGTCATGATGAGTTTGAGCCCCACCAGGGTGGAGCCTACCTTAAAAAAAAAAAAAAAAAAAAAAAAAAAAAACTATCAGCTCCACTTTTTTTCTTTTTGAAATGTGTGGTTTGGTCTGTGAATGTTCTCTTTAGGAATTTTTTATCTGTGATGAGTGAGTTTTAACGTGTGAACTTTCTTTCTCATATTGTCCTTCTCTGGGTTTTGTATCCATATTCTACTAGTTTCTTAGATTTGAGTTAGGTAGTATTCCTCATTTTGCAAGAGATGGATGTATAAATGATTAAAATGATATATTCTTTGGATGTTTTCTACCACTTAACTGCAAAACTTGTCATTTATGGATAACTTTAAAGTAGTGATTCAGTTTAATAGTTGAACTTTTCAGGCTATTTTTCCTTCGTTAAGTTTGAACATATGGTTTTGTTTGGTTTTTAGGAATTTGTCCATTTCTTCTGTGTTTTTGTGTTTATTATGATACAGTCATTTATATAGTTTCTTATTAATAGCTGTTATGAACGTTACTATATGGTAATTTCATTTTGCTTTCCTTGTTTAGTCACTTTCACCAGAGGTTTATTTATTTTATTGGTCTTAAGAATCAAATTATTAACCTTCTATTGTATCTTTGTTTTATCTTTTACTAATCTTAGCTGTTAGTTTTATTAACTTCCATTTTATTATTTCTGCCTTCTTGGAAGTTGGGAAAATGGTCATTGAATTTTGAATTCCAACAACTGTTTTAGTTGCATTCCACAACTTCTAATGTGTAGAGTTTTCATTATTGTTCAGTTCTAAATATTTCTTGGTTTCCATTGTGATTCCTTCTTTGACACATGATACAGAGGATGTTTTTAAATATCCAAATATAATACTTTTCAAATTTAATCCTGTTAGAACAGGTGGTGATTATTGGAAATTTATTGATACTTGATCTAAAACTCACTTTGTGGTCAATTTTTGAACATGCCTTCTTGGTAGATTTGCTGCCCCCCCCCCCAAAAAAACCATGTATTCCTTAATTGTTAGATCCTGGGTGCATAATTCTGGGTTGACAGCTATTTTCTCTTGGCACTTTAGCTGTATTACAGTATCTTCTGGTTTCTGTTTTTGTTGAGAGATCTGTTCTTAGTCTGATTACTATTCTTTTGTAAGTTGTCTTTTTTCTGGTTGCTTGTTATCTTCATCTTTGGTGTTTTGCAATTACATGTCTGGGTGTAGATTTCTTATTTATCTAGCTGGTGTATATTCTTTTGTATCTGGATTTACATATTCATTTCTGTAATACAGTTAGGTTTTATCTGGCTATATTTGTCCTTCATTCTGTTTAGACTGTCTGTAGGACCCTAAAGCACCATATGTCAGGTCTTTTCATTTTGTACTCGATATTTGTGGTTTTCTTTTGTGTTTTGTATTCACTTGTTTCTGTGTGCTGCATTCTGAGTAATTTCATCATAGATGTTTTCTAGTTTACAAATTCTGTCTTCAGCTGTGTCTAATTTGTTGTTTAATTCATTCATTGAGTGTTTAATTTCACATATTTTTTATTTCCAAAAGTTATATTTGATTATTCTTGATCTGCTGGGGTTTTTTTGTTTGTTTGTTTGTTTGTTTGTTTGTTTTTTAATAGATAGATTCTTGTTAATTTTTTAGGAATACTTCCTGAGTACCTATCATGTGCCAGGCACTGTTATAGGAGGTGGAGGTGTTATATTCTGATGTTCCTTGATATTTTTTTATTGAAAGGAGCTTCACTGTTTTAGTCTTTTTTTTTTTTTTAAACATCTAATTTATTTGTTTCAGGGGTACAGGTCTGTGATTCATCAGTCCTACACAGTTCACAGCACTCAACCCTCTCCATTGTCCATCACCCAGCCACCCCATCTCCCTACCCCTTTCCCCTCCAGCAACCCTCGGTTTGTTTCTTGAAGAGAGCCTCTTATGGTTTGTCTCCCTCTCTGGTTTTGTCTTGTTTCATTTTTCCCTCCTTTTTTCCTATGATCCTCTGTCTTGTTTCTCAAATTCCTCATATCAGTGAGATCATATGATAATTGTCTTTCTCTGATTAACTTATGTCACGTAGCATAATAGCCTCTAGTTCCATCCACGTCGTTGCAAATGGCAAGATTTCCTTTTTGATGGCTGCATAATATTCCTGTGTGTGTGTGTGTGTGTGTGTGTGTGTGTGTGTGTGTCCCACATCTTTTTTTTTTTTTTAAGGTTTTATTTATTTATTTGACAGGCAGAGAGAGCAAGAGGAGGAAGCAGGCTCCCTGCTAAGCAGAGAGCCCGATGTGGGGCTTGATCCCAGGACCCTGGGATCATGACCTGAGCCAAAGGCAGAGGCTTAGCCCACTGAGCCACCCAGGTGCCCCATTGATTGTAATTATTAAAATAACTGTAGTAACTTTGGTTTTTAGGGTTCTATATTATTAGTAGTAGTTTTTTTAGCTGAGTTCATTTTTGCATTCAAATTTTAACAACAATAAAAAGATCATATGCTAGGCTAAATTTAGGCCATTTAAAATTAATAAAAATTTTTTACACTGGTGTTAGAGAAAACTTGCTATTCACTGTTTCTAAGAACGTACTTCAATGCTATATTAAGGTAAAATTCCCACTGATGGGTTTCATTGTTAAATTAAGAATGACATTTTCAACTGTAGCCACTTGGTGTTTAGATATCTGTCTATAGGGTGTAAAACATTAATGTAAAGTTAAATTTATTACAGTACAGCAGGAAGGAGTGACATTGCTATCAGTTGCAGGATTCTCTTACAAGGGACCTCAGATTTTGCCTTGCTTCTTTATTTCTCATTACATTTCCCTGCTACCAGTTGAATGCCAAGGGGCAATAAGGAATGAAGATCTTCAATGAGTGGGTGTTTTTCCCTTTAAAAATACCCTCTACAATTTTTAGTCTCTTAATTGGCCTCTTTTTAGAAGCGACAGTCTTCGTTTCTATGTTGCATATATGTATTAGGGTACGCACTGCTAATCTGGTTTACCATTAATGTATAAATGTTGTTGCATTTCTTTGACAACATGTAGATCTGTGTTTGATTCTTGATTGCTAACATGGTTTGCCTTTTTGTTTGTTTACAGCACAGAAAGGTTCAACTAATGCAACACCACAGAAGAGACATGAGAGCATGACAGATGTATTAAAAATAACTCAGTTTTTACAGTTTGCTTTGATTCAGTGTCGAAAGGAATTCAAAAATATAAATACTATAAATTTTCATTCTGTTGTTGAAAAGTATGTAAATGAATTTTTTAAGCGAGGTTTTGGTTCAGGTAAACGAGAGTTTATCATGTTTCCATATGATTCCCGATTAGATGATAAAAAATTCTTATACTCAGCTCCAAAAAATAAATCCCATATTGATAATTGTTTGCATGCCTATATTTTTCGGCCTGAAATGTATCAGTTACCAATTTGTAAATTGAAAGAGCTTTTTGAAGAAAATAGAAAACTTCAACAGTTCAGTCCACTCTCAGATTATGAAGGCCAAGAAGAAGAAATGAATGGTACAAAAATGAAATTTGGAAAACGAAATAACTCAAGGGGTGAAACTATTATACCTAGAAAGCAGAAGTCCTCTCACTCTTTGGATTATGATAAGGATAGAGTCAAAGAATTGATTAATTTAATTCAGTGTAGAAAAAAAAATGTGGGTGGGGACTCAGACACAGAAGATATGAGAAGCAAAACTGTCTTGAAGAGGAAGCTTGAGGATCTACCTGAAAATATGAGAAAGCTCGCCAAAACCAGTAATTTATCTGAAAATTGCCATCTATATGAAGGTAAAAATATCAGGTTGCTTTTATATAGTATAAAAATAACAACCAAAAATACAGTAAAGTAGTTCTGTCCTTTCCCCTAGTACTGGGGTCTGCAAGTTACAGCCTCAGAACCAAGCCAGCCTGTCCCCTATTTTTGTAAAGAAAGTAATCGGATTTCGAATTGTATAGCTTAGGCTAATATGAGGAAAATAAAGTATGCTTGGCTATTGTCCTATTAATTGGAGTTCTTGTCCTTTTATGTCCTGTTAATTTTATAATTGGGAAAGTACATTGAATATTAGGTTCCTTTAACATGTTGCTTAGTGAAAGGAACCTTCTGAGGCTTAAAATTTGATATCTTAGATGCATACACATTTTTTTTCCCACCCCAGTAATATGTTTGACTACTTCTTTTTTTCTATTTTTCTTTATTTTGTTTTAGTTGACAGTAAAAGTCAGAAATGGGAGATCCTTCTTTTAAGTGTGTGTTTCAGTACTGCAAGTACTCTAAAACATTTTTTTCATCTAGATTTTTAATATCTTCACACTGCTTAAAAAAGCATGAAATGTCTTCTTTGAGTTCGTGGACCTTTGAATTTTGTGCTGCTCTTCTTGTTGTTTATGGCAGATACCAGTATTCCATTCCTGTTTCTTACTAAGCTATTTTACTTGTATATGTTCAAATTCAGTGTGTCTCAGAACTGATTAGGTTAAATCAGTGTTTTTATACTGTTGTCTTAGCCCTCAGTGCTTGTATCCTCACTTACTTTTCACTTATCTGCTTTCCTTTCTCTATTCCTGCACATATGGTAACTACTGGCCACATGTTGTATTTAAGTTTAAATTAAAATGGATGCACCTGGGTGGCTCAGTGGGTTAAAGCCTCTGCGTTCAGCTCAGGTCATGATCCCGGGGTCCTGAGATCGAGCCCCACATCAGGCTCTCAACTCTGTGGGGAGCCTGCTTCCTCCTCTCTCTCTCTCTCTCTGCCTGCCTCTCTGCCTACTTGTGATCTCTGTCAAATAAATAAAAATCTTTAAAAAAAAAAAGTTTAAAATGAAATAAAGGTTCATTTCATGTATTATATTTGGAACATTGCATAAGCCATACCACTGTATTGCATAGCACAGATAGAGAACATTTCCATCATTGCAGAGTTCTGTTTGACACTGCTGTCATCTTCAGTAACTTTCAAGTGTTTCTTCTTTATTTGATCTGTGTTCTTTCTTTCCAGCATTTTCATCTTGTTCTTACCTCTTGGGTGGCTTTCCTGGCATCTGTCACCCATTTCAGTATCATGTTCTTCCAGTCTCAGCTTCGTATACGTCTTTTCAAAAGTTTTTAATAGACTGGCCATGACCCACCTGGGTAACCATGTTTCCCATTCTTTTTTCACATATTCCTTGATTAGGGTTCATCTCTCTCCTCAGAATATGTCATAGTCAGCCCTTTACACTCCTCTTTCTTTCTTCCTGAAGCATCTTTCATTTCTCTCAACCCTTATATCTTTGCATTTCAGATCCCTCCTAGATTTTGGCTCTTCTGCTTCTTGATTGTTATTACTTTTAGCTTACGCCATGCTGAACCTGTGGTCATTTACTGATCTGCACTGTCTTAACTGTTGACCTGGTGTCTTGAGAATTAAGTGCTTACCGTGTGCCAGGTGTTTTACATATATGGACTCATTTAGTTCTTGAGTGGTAGACATATTATCCTTAATTTACAGATGAAAAAAATATGAAGAATTTGAGTAATTTTACCTAAAGTTATGTAGTTCATTAATCCATGTTTAATTCATAACTTAGCTGTGACTGACTCTAAAACATTGTTCCTAAACTTGGCTGTATTTACTAGCACTAGCACATAATGGTCAAGATACTTAAGTTTCAGTACTGTTTTAGCTGATAATTGTTTTTGTCTATGTGAAAAAATAGTCGTGGGTTACAGTCAGGCTTTATCAATAATAAAAATGGTGGGAAAGCCATGCCAATAGGCCAAAGTAGAAGTAAGGCAAGGGAGAAGGGAGAGAGAGGTTAAATCTGAACTAGTGACAGTCAGACTTGCATTTCTAGGTGTTCCTCATTTGTGTTTCTTTTTAGTAATTTTATACACTTTATTTTTGATTTCTGAAAATAGAGATTTAAAGGTCAGATTCTAACTTTTAAAATACCCTCATCTTGATTTGGTGGTGAACCCACTCATTTTATAAGAGGCAACCTCCTATCTTCCCTACCCCCTTTTACATTAACTTTTTTGAGGTATGGTTTCCATAAAATGTATTTTATGGCATTAAATTTTAAGGGCATAGTTTAAAGACAAATTTTGGTAGTTATTTTACCACCACTCCAATATATAGAACATTTTCATTACCCTCAAATACTACGTTATACTCCTTTGTACTCTCACCCCACACCACCACTGATCTGCTTTCTGTCTCTACGGATTATTTTCCACTACTATGATTTTATAATCCATATAAGTAGAGGATGTACTTTGTTGTTTCTAAATTTTTTTCCCCCTGTGGTTCATTATACCCTGCTTAAATTGGAAATCCTGACATCTGTCCAGGCTTTACCCTCCTTCAGCATTATAAGCACCATTTCCTGAATGTCTATTCCCTTTGCAGGTTTTAAATATAATGGTTGTGCAGATCACCCATATTTATACCTGCTTGTAACCATCTCTTAACATGTTTTCTCTCATAGTACTTTTTGTTCTTAGTGCAAGTTTGGTATAGACTGCTTCGGGATAATTTTGTATCTCTAGTATTTTAGCTTTGTTATGAAATTAAGTAATCTAGTCATTCAAGATAAGGTTTTAGATTATAAGAATATCAAGCTTTATCTTAAAGACAAAATCTAATAGGTATAAAGGAGATAGAAATCAAATTAAGCCATGGTTTGGTTTTTTTTAGTAGATTTAAATGTAATCTGCATGTCCTAACATTTTGCAAAAAAATAAAGTGCAGATATTTTATCTCTTTTCAAGTCAGATAAAACTGGGGGTAAACTGATTGGGATTTTGGTAATAGAGTTTAAGGTAACTACAGTACAGGTATTAATATATATTATCCATACTACCAGCATGATGTCTGAGCTCATTTCTCCATTAATACCGTTTTCAAATTACTAAAATAAGCTTTCATTTATGAGAATTCCTAGCTCTGTGCAAAATTTTATTTTTTAATTTTTCTTATTACTTTTAAAAGATTTTTATTTATTTGAAAGAGAAAGTACATACATATGGGGAGAAGCAAACTCACCACTGAGCAGGGAGCCCGATGTGGGGCTTAATCCCAAAACCCTGGGATCATGACTTGAGCAAAAGGCAGGTGCTTAACCAACTGAGCCACCCTGGTACCTGCTATGTGCAAAATTTTAGAACCAGTTATATTTGTAAAGAAAGGGATGGATGTACTTGTACAGTCTAAGCCAGTGGTCTGATTGGATCCTTGCCCATAAATATCTTATGACAATTAATTTCTAGGTATATATGATTTTTAAGTTTTTATGCAAACATCCCAAACTAAGATAAGGTTTTTCTTTCTCTTTACCTTCAGGGTCTCCTCAGCCTCTTGGCTGTCTTGGGCATGATGCTGATTTGAGACAGCAGCCGCAGGATACCTCTAACTCCGGTGTTGCTGATATCCATCGGCTATTTAATTGGCTATCAGAAACACTAGCAAATGCACGGCATTCTGATGCATCCTTGACAGACACAGTCAACAAAGCCTTAGGATTGAATACCGATGATGCCTATGAAGAGCTGAGGCAAAAGCATGAGTATGAGTTGAGCTCTCCCCCAGATAAGAAAGAATATGAGCAGCCTACTTGTGCAAAAATTGAAAGTGTGCATTTTAAGGGCACTCAGAGCCCATTGCTAGAAGTTGATACATCATTGTTAAAGTATCCTGTTGCTGTTTCTACTGGTGAAGCAGGCACGGACCATAAACTACATTTGAAAGAAGTAAGCATATGTCTTTTGATTATATATGTTGTTTTTGTGAATGTGTGTCTGAAAGAGGATGTAGGTGTGTTTCAATGGGATTTTTTTCCCTTTCAAAAAGAAAGAAAATACACATTGCAATGAAGGTATCTGTCCAGCATAGTAGTTCTAAGTTATTCCTTATTACAAAAGGATAAATGCAGAAGTAGCAGTTTTCCTTCCTGCTTGTAGGATTGTGTATATCAGCATATATATAGTTAATAAAATTGAATCCTCAAAAGATTGGCTTTCTGCTGGCAGTTCTAGAATCCAAAAGTGATATAAACAAGATTAGGTAGTTTGTATTTTTGAGGCAAAGAGGAATGGAATGTGAGTGTCCTTTAAGGATTACTTCTGAAATGACTCTCAGCATTGCTTGACAGGACATCCAGTTTGTTTGTGAAGGAAACTTAGTACTGATCTCCAGCTGAGAAGTAACCTTGTCTTCCCCAAAATGTGACTGCATCTCTGGGAAATAACAATAACAGGATGGCACCATTTTCCTAAGGGTTCATTTCTAATTTCCTTTTATCTCCTATTTCTCTCACCTGCCTTTGAATAAAAGTCATATGCATGTCCCCAGGCTTTCTTCACATAGTTTTAGGATATTTATTTTAGGGGGAGGATGATATCAGGAGACCCACTTGCAGAAGTATGTAACTTAGGTAACTAATATTATTAACATTTCCTGACATATTTAATATTCTAAATTGAGTTGATAGGAGCATGCACCAAACTCTGCCCACTGCCTTCATCTGTCTATTTATTTGAGAGCGCAGGCATGTGTGAGAGGGAGAGAGAGAATCTTAGCCCAACATGGGGCTCAATCTCAACCCTGATCATGATCTGAGCCAAAGTCAAAAGCCAGATTCTTAACTAACTGAGCCATCTCGGTGCCCCCGCCCACTGCCTGTTTTTGTAACTAAGGCTTTAGTGGAACACAGCCATTTGTTTAGGTGGGTCCTCTGGCTGCTTTTGCACTACACAGGCAGACCTGGGTATCTGGCCCACAAAGCCTAAAATACTTGGTGCTTTACTGAAAATGCTTACAGCCTCCGCTCCAAATCAACATCAAATTATGTTTTGAGGAAAAACATTATGTTTTAATTTAAGACCAGAGTATTTTAACTTTGCCATGCTGTTTTTACTCATCTGTAATATTTATATTGAAGCTTGTGGATTTGCTATCAAAAAACAGTGGAATGTGTGACTTGGTTTCAGGGTTGTGAGTTCAAGAGCCCCACATTGGGTGTGGAGCCTACTTGTTTATTCTGGACATAAAAGTTAATTGAAAAGCTATTGAATATGTACTCTAATTTTTAGGATCCCAATTTAATTAACATGAGTAATTTTGAAGATTGTAGTCTGTGTCCCACTGTTCCCATTGAACATGGATTCCGCAGACCGTCTAAGTCAAATAATGTTGAAGAGACTGAAATACATTGGAAACTGATTCCAATTACAGGTAAGAATACGTATATTGGGACTTCGGTTTGCTTGTTTTTACTTAGCAGTTTCCTAAAGGGTTCATCTTTTCTAGATTCCGTTCTTGGGTCAGTGGGTGGTTCGTCTTACTTGGCTCTGACATCATCTTATTTTGAGCAACGTAGTGTTCATCATTGATTGTTGCTGGTTTTGGTCAGCATCAGCAAGTATCTGCAAAACAGCCTATAAAAGCAGAGGGATTTAAAACATACTTTCCCAATGGAGTTTAGCATGCAGACTTCCTAATGAATATTGGTGGCAGAAATTGAGTTTCTAATAAGGTGAGATAGTGACAGAGATGAAATGATGGTCTTTGGGACAACAGATTAAATGCTATCTTCTCAAATTATTAGAATACACTTCACCATAAGAAGCTATCATCTAAGAAGTTATGTTGAGGTTCATCTGTTTGGGAAAAAAAAAAAAAACTTGATTTCTTAACATTCAATTATCTTAGAAAACTTAGATCATCATAGAGATTACCCTGAAGCGATCAAATGCAGAAGTCCCTAGAAAACTTATTGGACCATGGGGCAAGACTAGGTTAATGTTGAAAGATCATTTTGCAGTATTCTAATTTCTCTGTGTAGACACATATATAAACATACACACACACACACACACACACACACACACACACACACACATATACACCTACTCTTAATATTCTAAGTTCTTACCTTTGTTAGCTAAGCATTTTTGGAAATATTTCCAGGGCACATCTTTTCCATTCCTAGTCATTTAAAAAGTCGTAAAAAAAAAACAACAACCAACTTTTTGCTAAAAAGTTAGACTGGCTTGTGACCTAGAAGCTACTGAGACCTCCAAGAACTCTGAGAAGAATTTCTAAAACTTGAAGAATTACCATGGGCTTCAGCACCATTCTCTACTTAGTACCTTACCAGAAGGGCAAGAGCTCTAGAAGTGATGGTAGAGAAGTGACTGATACTTAAGAGCTGGAGATGTTGGCTTGGACGGAAGAAGCACAGTAAAAAATTAGTCAATACAAGTGATTATCCTAACCATTCTTCATTTAGGTAGTTTTGTAATTGATGTTCAGAGCCATTTGAAGGCACAACATCTAGATGTTGATATTCCATCATCATCTGAACGGAAAGGGAAGCAACTTCTAATTCTGAATGACCCTTCTGGATTGTTTTAGGCAGAAGATGTAATACTTGGATTTGTTAGCATTTGGGGTTGTCGGTAAGGTGCTTAATATAGGTATCACATATATCTGAAAAGAGTCTACAAATCTAATGGATACTTTCCCTCAGGAGGGAACGCAAGAAGCCCAGAAGACCAGCTGGGGAAACATGGTGAGAAACAAACACCAGGTGAGAAGCCTCCCTTTGCTTTTCCTCCCAATGTGCCCTTCAGAATTGCTACTTGCATTTCTGGTTCTCTATCAGTAGGGCACCATTTTGAGTTCTGTTATTACAGAAAATTTGGACAATATCGTATTTGCATTTAAAATCTTTGATTTGTATCAAATATTCTAATACAAAGAATGTGTTTAAAGAAGTCACTGAGTACTCGGAGATTAAGTTTTCTTCACTGTAGTGATTCTGTCTGATACGATGTCTTGGGAAGATGGGAATATTTTTCTTAATCCATTTCTGTAGAATACTCTATGCAAAATAGTCTTCAAGTTTCTTTAAAGTTTAAAAAACAAAAGGATTGAGGCCCATTATCTTTTAGGTTCATTATTCCTAATCTTGAATTTTTGACCCAATTCTTCTTCTGATTATTTAAGTAAAGTAGTGTAAATAAGAGATTAGGAAATTTTGGGATTCCAGAAACAGTTACAGATGTTGCTGATTAGCCAGTTGCTGTTGGTTCTTAGAAGACCTTTTTTTTTGTCTGAGTTCAGTCCATTCAGCATCTCTGCAGATGGTCATAGGCATTGTTTTCTTGCTTTAGAGTTTGGTGGTGGGCCTTTTTTGTTTGTTTCAATTTCACTGTATCTTATTCTTTCAGAAATCTTAAGTGGTAATGGGTTTTTTTCCTTAATTTGAAGGAAAGCTAAATGGAATAGTTTTAGTTGATCTTTATGGTTTTCCTCTCCACAGAGTTTAAAAAAAAAAAAATGAATGGTTTTCTTTAAGAAAATCTTTAGTCTCTTCCTAGGAAAAATGACCCAAAAAAGCAAAACAGGAACCGACAGATATAAGACATACAGGAAAGTGCATAAATCTTTAGTACACAGCTCAGTGGGTTTTTAACATGTGTATAGACTCATGTTACAACTGCCCAAATCAAGATTTAGAACATTTCCAACACCCCCAGGTTTTCTTCTGTAGTCTTCCAGTCAGTACTCCCCCTGACCCAACTGTAACCACTAATCTAATTTTTTTGTTTGTTTGTTTTACCATAGATTAGTTTTACCTGTTCTTAAATTTAAGGTAAATGGAACTTACAATGTCTTGTTTTGTTTTTGGCTGTTTCACTCAACTTTATCCCTGGGATTCACCTATTTTCTATCTGTCAGTAATCCTTTCTTATTAGAAGCAGCCAGGTATCTTGTTTATGCTTCAACCTGCGCCATTGGCATCTGCAGTCCTCTTTTATTTGTCATACCATCTTTATATTTTGTGATGGAAAATGTAAATATGTAAATGATGCTGCCTTTAGAGAACTCATTATTCCCCTTTCAGAGTCAAAGTACTGCAATGCTTGAGTGACAATCACTAGAAAACATGTATTATTGTTATTGACATGTGTTTCCTTTAGATCATTACCGAGAAGACATTTTTTAAGATAAAGTTGTCAGTTCTAGTGATTAGAATCTTATAGGGGAAATTTGTGCAAAATAGAATTAGGTGATGGTACTTTGCTTTTTTAAAAGAGATTTAAACTTTTTTAATGGGGGAAAATTCCCTACATGGATTTAAGCTTAATTCAGCTTTAAAAAAAAATTCCCTTTATCATAGCCCTTCAGGCATAAGCTTATTGGTCTGAACTATAGCTGTATGTCTTGGGAGCAGGTATTTCATTTTAAATAATACTTAATTGGAAGTTTAAAAATTATAGGTGGTATTCCCCAACCTATTTGTTTTACAAGGTATAGTTTAAATGTTTTTATTTCTGATTTAAATAATCAGACATATTTAAATCAGATTTAAATAAATCAGACATCTGATATGGTACTCAAGAAGTGGAAAAGTATCTCAAAAAGTAAAATACCTCAAAAAGTCTTGCAGCCCTGTCCTAGACACTTAGTTTCATTGCATGGATCAACCTGTTAGAAATTTCTTATGTATCCTTCCAGACATTTTGTGTGTGCACTAAACCCCATGTTACAGATTTAAGAAGGATGTTCTGTATTCTGGAGTTATTTTATGGAACTTGAATTTCTGCTTTATCAGTTTCATAAGTTTTTTTTTTTTTTAACTTTTTTTTTTTTTTTAAGATTTTATTTATTTATTTGACAGAGAGAGAATCACAAGTAGGCAGAGAGGCAGCAGAGAGAGAAGGGGAAGTAGGCTCCCCTCTGAGCAGAGAGCCCAATGTGGGGCTTGATCCTAGGACCCCGAGATCATGACCTGAGCTGAAGGCAGAGGCCCAACCCAGTGAGCCACCCAGGTGCCCCTCAGTTTCATAAGTTTTAATTCTTACCTTGGTACATTGGATATTTTGCTCCCCTACTCTTCTTCCACCTACAGACCTGTTGTGGTATTACTTGCCAGCAGATACCTTTGCAGTAGTTAATGGGTGTAGTGGTTCATGGCAGCTACCAGGGTTGGTGGAGAAATGTCACAAGCTGACTGCTTCTGAGGCTGTTAAGAGCTGTAGAAAAGTGTGAGTGTGGGGAAACCAAAACTGAATTTGTGTGGAGAGGGTATGTTGCCACATGTGGGTGCAAACTTGAATAAGGAATTCGCTGTATCTTCAAAGTACCATAGTTCTAAAAACTGTACTTATACCTGCAACTTCCTGATATAGAGGTACAATTTATAGACTATAACAGCGATTTGTTAGGAAATATTGGCCAAGATTTAAGAAAAATTAATTAAAAAAATAAAACTTTATAATATCATCTAGGCAAAGATCACAAACTTTTTTCTTTTCCTAAAAGACTATAAATTGCTGTTCAACATATTTTCCCCTTGTCTTTTTGTTTTTAAAGACCTTAAGTTGTGTACAGCTTTAAAGGTTTTATTTATTTATTTATTTATATTTATTCATTTGATGGACAGAGATCACAAGTAGGCTGAGAGGCAGGCAGAGAAAGAGAGAGAGGAGGAAGCAGGCTCCCTGCTGAGCAGAGAGCCCGATACAGGGCTCGATCCCAGGACCCTGGGATCATGACCTAAGATGAAGGCAGAGGTTTTGACCCACTGAGCCACCCAGGCGCCTCTCCCCTTGTCTTTTAGAAAGGGACTTGGGGTATGTGTTTTGAAATACAGTTTAAAAAACATAATATGGGGGCGCCTGGGTGGCTCAGTCGTTAAGCATCTACCTTCAGCTCAGGTCATAATCCCAGGGTCCTAGAATCGAGCCCTGCTCAGCAGGGAGCTTCTCCCTGCTTCTCCCTCTCCCACTCACCCTGCTTGTGTTCCCTTTCTTGCTGTGTCTCTCTCTGTCAAGTAAATAAATAAAATCTTTAAAATAAAAAAATTTAAAACATGTTTGAATTACAATCTCTGGGGAAAAAGTATAATCTGTAAATGGAGCTAGCTGTCAAAAGTCAGTGTTACGGTTCCATTAACACCAGGTAGCTGAATGACCTCCTCTTCTCAAGATCTCAGGAGTATTACTGTTAATGCAGATATGAAATATGTTTTTTTCCATATTACTGAACCCTCCCCCTCAACAGATCTGGGAAGCAGAAATAAGCAAACAATTTGTATTGATGCCAAATTTGCACATGTTCGAACACTTCAAAAGAAATCAAAGAAAATAACATCCAGACTTGTTACTCTAGCTACTGAAATCCAAAGACCAGCCATAAGTGGGGCACATAGAAAGTGGGGCTCATACCATCATTTGAGATATTTATTCTATTCTACCTTCCAGTGTATAGTTTTAAAAACATACTTTGATCTGACATTCCTATTTATGAGTTTGTGTTTTCAGATGTTATTTTTTTGGATTGCTCTTATAATAATGAACTCTTCCTATATAGGTATGAAATCACCAGAAGAACAAGTGGTGTATCTGCCACCACAGGAGGCCTTTCCTAACGACCCCCGGGTAATAAGTAGACAGAGAAGTTCTGATTACCAGTTTCCATCCTCTCCATTTACAGACACACTAAAGGGCACCACTGAGGATGACGTGTTGACAGGTCAGGTGGTGACAGTGGAGGAGCAGTGTGTGCCAGCAGCAGAGCCGCCCACAATGAGTGAAACCACAGAGAGGACAGTGTTAGGAGAGTACAATCTCTTTTCTAGGAAGATAGAAGAGATTTTGAAGCAAAAGAATGTTTCATATGTCAGTAGAATTTCCACACCTATTTTTTCAACACAAGAGAAGATGAAACGGCTTTCTGAGTTCATATATTCTAAGACTTCCAAAGCTGGTGTACAGGAATTTGTAGATGGCTTGCATGAGAAACTAAATACTATTATTATCAAAGCATCGGCCAAGGGTGGGAATTTGCCACCAGTCAGTCCCAATGATTCTGGTAGTAAGATAGCATTGAATCCTCTGGGAAAGCTTGTCCTACCAGTTTCCTCAAGTGACTTCAACAATAAACAGCTCCTTGAGCCACTTTGTAGTGATACTTTGAAAGACACCAACTCCACTGAGCAGCATTCCTCTTCAGCTTTGGGTTTAACCGAAGTAGAAGTGAACCAGCCACACCATGCCACAGAGCTGATGGTGACTTCTGATCATACTGTACCTGGTGATACTGCCCGGGAACCGGTAGAAAAAGAAACAACAAAATCGCCCAGTGATGTAAACATTTCTGCCCAGCCAGCTCTTTCAAATTTTATAAGCCAGTTAGAACCTGAAGTATTTAACAGTTTGGTTAAAATCATGAAAGATGTCCAGAAAAATACTGTGAAATTTTATATTCATGAAGAAGAAGAGAGTGTGCTCTGTAAAGAAATAAAGGTAACTAAATGAGAAGGTAATAATGGTAATGCTATATAAACTTGTCTTACTGGGTCTGATCTCTATAAAATGGAGGGAGTTTTTTTTGTTTTTAAATGTTGACCATATATTTTCATAATTTAGAACAGTGGAATAAGACTAGTAAGTTCAATTAAATGTAGAACCTCTGATCTAAGTATCTTAGAATTTAGAATCTTGTTTTTATCCATGATTTTATAGACCCTTTGTATATACACTGCAAATACCTTTAAACTGTTGCTTCGAAGATTTTAAATGTTTCTTACCTGGGTTTTTAATTAGAAAGATACAGAGAGGTAGAAGAAGCTGTTAGTGTTTACTTCTTACGGGGGAGGTTTTTATCAGTCAAATAGAAAAAACTGCCCAGGGATGACCTAATGGTGATATATATAGTCTTTTGGCATTTCTTGATACCCTGATCATGTCAGGGTTCCCTACAGCCTTTTCGATCAAAAAACACGATGATTCTCAAAGACTCCCCAATCATGAAAAATTCCTCAGTGCAAGGTAGATTTTTTTCTACTGGAGCTACAGAGTAAGACTAGTCTTTCAAGTATTTGATTTTTAAAAATACATGCATGTATTTGTATGTGTAGATACAGGCATATATAAAATTTGTAACAGGTAAATTATGACACAAAGGAATAGCTGTATCAGTATTTAATATTAATAATTAGTATTTACTAAACTCTAGGATTTTAATCCCTTCAGGAAATGATACAGGTTTTAAAATAAATGCCTGTTCCCATTTATGGAATTAACTTATCATGACAGTTTCTGCTTGTTTTGTTAGAGGAAGCAGAAGGTACTATAAATAAGTGCCTTAGAGCTGAGAGTGGCCCAGAATCTCTGCTGCTGTGTTCTGAGCCTTTGTCAGTTTGAGAGTTTCTTTGATGTCAGCATGTTTCATGTAGCGTGCCCTTGAGAACATGAAAAACATGGAAATGAAGGAGGTGGAAGAGTGGTCAGTGTGCCTTCTTTACTACTAATTCCCTGTGATTTCTTAGGAGGATGAAATCAGACGTATAGGAGGTTCTTGGTTGCATTTTGCCCTGTATTATTGAATGTAGAGCTGCTTAACTTTTTCCATCCCCAGCAACATGTTCAAGTATAGTACTTGGTGGGGAGGGGAAATAGCTGTGTGTTGGGGGTTCTAGTTGAGAGGATGGAGTGGATCCAGTCCCCCACTGTGCTCAGCATCATCCCATCTTCCTCACCACATTTTATACACTAACTGTATCACACAGAAAATGTACTGACTTATGATGGTGCATTTAATTCATTCTGCCATAGAATAAATCTTGTTTTTGTTACTTATGTAGAAGAGAAAGATGCTGTGTGTTTTACAAATCAGATCAGAACTTTCTTTTAATCAGTATCCATTGGAAAATATCCAGCAAAAATGTTAAAATAGAGTAAAAATACTATTAATGAAATTTTAAGCATCTATAAATAAATGGTCTCATTTAAAATGAATTCGCAGTTAAATCTTCTTAATGTAAAAAGACCAAAAATTACAAGCTGGCCTGTAATTTACTTTCTCATTACCAGTCTGTAAGCTGTTCTGAGATCTGCCCAGAAGCTGTAGAGGTTAGATCAAAATCTAGTAATGTAGAACATGCTGCTTCACTTCAGGGCTACACAGAAATATACTCTTTGAGGTGATGCTTGTAGACCGTTCTTGATAGAGCAACAGACTCTTTGTGAGGCAAGCTGGGTTTAGACTTAATGGCTGTGTAACCAGCCTTGCCAACCTTGAGAAAATCAATCTCCTGTTATCTGTGAAACAAGGAATGTGACCTTTAGGACCCTGCAGTTCACTTCAGATTTCAGGATTCCACCAGCAACCAAAGAGCAAAGGAAACTGCCTGTACTACTCTGTGTCCTTTGAAAGGTAGTACCATGTCACCAACATGGAGGGAGGTATTAGATGGGAGGGTCTATTTTATTTGAAGGTGTGACTTTGACAGACATGGCTAAATAGTTCGTGAATGCCATGGTGAAGCTACATACTGAAGCGCTGTATGAATGACTTTTTGGGATTGTTGTGAATTAAATGAGTCCAGTAGTCCGAAAAGTGCTTTGTGAGGGAAGGCGTACTGTACTGGTAACCTTGCTGCAAATAACCAAGGGCTTCCCTTGAAAGGAGAGGAAAATGAAATGTGAGAGTGGTTAATGACTGGGCTCTGGGTTGCCCAGAATAAATGATGGAACTGGGTTAAGAACCTGGGCTAATCCATTGTTCTTACGGTTCTTTTTGTACCCACCACTGGCATGTACTTCGCTTTGATTGCATAGCACTGTAACATTGTGACTGTGGCATGGCCATTTAGGCTTCAATCTATAGATTCTATAAGAAGAGTGGACCTGATGATCTCTAAGGTCCATAGTATAAGGTCATCATTATTAGTGGCCATTTCTAAGTGACTTATCAGTTGATCTTGCACTTCTGGTGTTGAGTGGATATTTGCAAAAAAGGCTTTTAATGTTGATTTAGTTTTTCTCTTTAACAGGAATATCTTATCAAATTAGGCAATACAGAATGTCATCCAGAACAGTTTTTGGAAAGAAGATCAAAATTAGATAAACTGTTGATTATTATTCAGAATGAAGACATTGCAGGTTTCATTCACAAGGTAGACTGTTAAGTCAAATTCACTATTGTTTTGGTTATAAAAATTCCCTTATTTTAAAATCTTCCTGTCTTCGAGGCTAAACTTTGTTTTAAAAATATCCTTATAAGGTCTAAAAGAGGCAAAACTTCAATTTTGGGAGATTTAGGGCTTGAGATGTAAATGATGTAAACAAGGGCTTGAGATGTAAACGATCCATCTGTGAATCAGCTTGTGATCACGTTTGCACCCTTGCAAAATTTTAAATTGCGTCACATCACAGACCCTCCCTGTCACTCATCTAGACTAAGAGTATTGACTCCTTGAATGTCAGTGAGTGCGTTGACTCTGTATTGTCTTCATTTGTATGTCCCAGGTAAAACCTGTTTGTACCCTCCCTTTGCCAGACCATTTCCCCTTTCCATTGCATTTGGAGGTACCCATACAGTCTTACGAACCTGTCTCAAGTCCTTCTGCCCTTTTAAGGCTTTCCTGACTGCATGGGCTCTTGCTGTCCTCTGAATTCTGACTGCAGTCAGAGGGCCAGGCAGGTTGGCCTTCATTATTCTGTTGCCAGGTCTGTTGTAGGTCCCTTTTCGTCAGAATGTTCTGTTCATGGAATGTACCCAGGACAGTAATGTTGGTTTATGTCTTTGGATATGTTGGGAATATTTTTGTATTTTGTTAGACTTCTCTTGTAGGTTACTTCACACTTGAGTCTTACCATTTCATTCTCTTATGTCCTTATTTCTGTTTTTGTTTTGGGGTTTAAATAGGTGCCTGGCTTGGTGACTTTAAAGAAGCTCTCTTGCGTTAGTTTTGCTGGTGTTGATAGTCTGGATGATGTTAAAAATCATACATATAATGAATTATTTGTATCTGGAGGTTTCATTGTGTCTGATGAATCCATTCTAAATCCAGAAGTTACTACAATTGGTAAGATTTAAGCTTTATTTGGAGTATGAACTTTGTCTTTTCTAGGTTTTTTCTCATTAATGACTCATGTTTTTAAATGTATTGTTCTCTCTGATTGGCAAAATGGATGAGTACATTACCATCATTTTATTACCTCAAATTTCTTTCCTTGTCTCTCAGTCACTGCAAATTTCCTCTAAATCTGATATAAAGCAAGTGTCTGCACTGGTTGCATTTGGATCTGTTCTGCTTTGTTATTGTTACCAGCATGTTCTTGCTACATAGATGTTCTTAAATCTAAGAGTATATATAGATGTCTGTCTCCCTTTGAGGGTAAAGTACTACATAGGGAAGTAGATATTTCTATATAGTATCAACAAACATTTCTTACATAATTGATTGTTGAGTGACTTTTATTGAATTTAAAATAAACTTCATTATCTCTAACAGAGAACCTTAAAAATTTTCTGACATTCCTTGAAGAACTTAGTACTCCAGAAGGAAAATGGCAATGGAAAGTCCACTGTAAATTCCAGAAAAAACTAAAGGAATTGGGCAGGTAAGAGTTGAAAAATAGGGGCTCCTGGGTGGCTGAGGGGATTAGGCCTTTGGCTCAGGTCATGATCTCAGGGTCCTGGGATAGAGCCCAGCATCGGGCTCCCTGCTTGGCAGGGAGCCTGCGTCCCCCTTCCTCTCTGCCTGCTGCTCTGCCTGCTTGTGGTCTCTATGTCAAATAAATAAATAAAATCTTTAAAGAAAAAAGAGAGAGTTGGAAAATAACTATATAATTGTTGATACCAACTTTGTGTTCGTAAAACTTCTATTTTTCTGTGTTTATAGCAGTGTTCACAGATGTCCTTAGCCAGTCATAAGGGGGAATGTAGTTATTTTTCTAGCCTGTTTGGAAATAGTATTCTTATTTAGGTAGAGATTTGCTAAAGTTGAAGTTGAAGTTCTTAGGTATATAGGTAAAATTGGTTTAATCTTTGCCACTTGAGGATTTAGAATAATAATAAAAAAAAAAATAGAACAGTCAGCACTCAATTTTTTTTTTTTTTTTTAACCAAACTGTATATGCCAACTAGATTAGGCTCTCTCAGTGGAGAACTACCTTATGCAGCTAATCTATTTACACATATACTGAGACATTAATCCCAACATGATAAGGGGATTTGTGGTTAGGACATTCACAAAACATTTTTCTTCTAATACCCTAATACTTTCTATGGAACACTTAGGGAAATTCAGATTTAAATGATTGACAAGTATTTAACTTTTTATAGTAATTCACTTCTTAAAAACTTGTTTTATCTTCACATTATGTGAAAATAGGCATTGGAAGAGCCTTTACTTTTGTGTAACGGATAACGGTAAGCAGATGATAATGAGGCCCAAAGGTATGACTGGTGCAAAGTTAGTACCCTCATCTTGCTGACAACAGTAGTTTCTACCAATTGTTGCCTTGTGCTTGGAGGTGTTCAAATAGTTTCGAGCCATGTATTTTTTTGAAGGAAAGATTTTTTTTTTTGGTCCTCCTATGCCCTTTGTTCACATTCTAAATTAGTAAAGCTAAAGGGGAAAGTATTGTTATTCAGTAGGTACAATGAGATTGTAGTACAAAGCTGAGCAGCTGGCTCTCAGGCTTTGCACCCATAGAAAGCCCCTGAATGTCAGCATGGGTTGCACAATTCCTACGCTCCTCTCTCTCCTAGGAAGCACCCGTCCATCAGGCAGTGAACTAAAGCAGTGCAGTTGTCACTGGTTGCCTCAATTGAGAAATTATGGTCTTAATTTGAAGCAAAAACATCCATACTAAATTTTAGAAATGCAGATCCAGATATTGAACTACTTACTTCCACAGATTGAATGCTAAAGCTCTAAGTCTGCTGACACTTCTGAATGTCTATCAAAAGAAACATCTGGTTGAAATTTTGTCATACCACAATTGTGATTCACAAACTCGAAATGCTCCAGAATTGGACTGCCTTATCAGACTTCAGGCTCAAAACATACAGCAACGACACATAGTCTTTCTAACAGGTAAAGAGTGCCGTCTTAAGCTTTCTATTATGAATGTAGGCATGTGGACAGAAGGGTATTGTTGCCAGTGGTGGGTGTTAAGTACTTTCATGGGGGTGGCATCATCATCTGTCTGTCCATGTAGGCTTTCACATGTTTTATACCTGAACCTTTTTATTTTTTTCATTTAGAAAAGAATATCAAGATGCTCTCCAGTTATACAGATAATGGAATAGTGGTTGCGAGTACTGAAGACTTTATGCAAAACTTTAAAAATCTTGTGGGCTATCACAACTCAATCACAGAAGAAAACCTTCCACTGCTTGGTGCTAATGAGACTCTTGAGTCGCAGTCAGGTAACTTTTCAGTAGTCTTACTTTTCTTTAAGGCAGACAGAAAAAGAGGAATGGTTTTGTGTTGTTTTCATAGAACAAAATGCCTGCTTTGAAACTACTCGCCCTCTGTGTAAACAGCTTCAGGGGAAGTGTTTCAAGCCACTTACCGTTCTTAGCGTACACAAAATCTCATTTATTATACTATAGTCAATAAAAGCTCTTAAGTATGCTGGATACTACCAGAGTAGGCATTTTCTCTTTGAGGGTATGTAAACTTTATTGGCTGCTGTTGTCAGCAGAGGGATTTTTTTTTTTTTTCCCAAAAATTGTATTTATTTATTTATTTGATAGATCATAAGTGGCCAGAGAGGCAGGCAGAGAGAGAGAGGGAAGCAGGCTTCCTGCTGAGCAGAGAGCCCGATTCGGGGCTCGATCCCAGGACCCCGAGATCATGACCTGAGCTCAAGGCAGAGGCTTAAACCACTGAGCCACCCAGGCACCCAGAGGGTTTTTTTTTTTTTTAAAAAGGACACCAGATAGTGGGGAATTTAGCATTGGGCTACAGAATCTCCCCAGATGTATATAGCAATTTAAGGACAAGGTAGTAGGAATATATCCATAGCTTTAGTGTTTTGTGAGATGGCCTCTGCTTTGGTTCCAGGTTTTATGTTAAATGAAAGATGTACGTACTTTGTTTTTTATGAAAAGCAGAGATGATCAAACATTTGCTAGAACTAACCAGTTTAGTCATAATCCAGTGAAGCTAGATGTCAAAATTTTTATTTTTTATTTGTCTTGTCAAATACTGAATTACCGTATAACTTTAGATGCTGTTTTGACATTAACCCCTTTGGAGCTGGGAGTTGGGATTTCCCAACATTAAACGTGAACACATTTCGCAGAAGCTTTTAGCATCGGATTATCTGGACATTCACACCTAGTGTGAGTGTTGTGACTAAGTGAACTTGTGGCAGAAGACCAAGCTTTAAGGGATTGTGGACTTGCAGACCCTGACGCATTATATTGTGTGAGTAGTGTATAATTTTAAAACTTAAACAAATTGTGTATTTCAATAGAGGAGGACTTTTTGTTTTTTAAATGTAGCTCTTTTAGAAAACGATGAAAAGGATGAAGAGGATATGTCTCTGGATTCAGGGGATGAAATCTCACAAATAGAAGTATGCAGCAATTTTCATTCAGAAATATTGGCGAAAGAGACCAAAGGATCACGTGGAACAGATCAAAATAAGAATATTCAAATTGAGTTGCAATCGTCTTTTGACGTGCAAAAAAGTTTATTAGAAGATAAGACTTATCAGATTGATTCTGAAGAAAGAGCTTCTGTTGCTATAGTATGCTCTGAAGGAGAGAACAGCAATGCAACTGAACAAGATTCATATAGCAACTTTCAGGTTTATCACAGTCAATTAAATATGTCCCATCAGTTTAGTCATTTTAATGTTCTTACTCATCAGACATTTTTGGGGACACCATATGCCCTTTCATCAAGTCAGTCTCAAGAAAGTGAAAATTACTTTTTATCTGCTTATACTCAGAGCTTGGATAGAGCTAAATCTCCATCTCCATTAAGTTGGGGGAAAAGTGATTCTTCCAGGCCTTTTTCAAAAGAGAAATAGTAACTTTTTTTTTTTTTTTTTGAAATAGGTTGTTATGGACTTTATCTGTTTCTTATAAGTGAATTAACAGTTTATATTTCATTCTCTAAACAAAGGTTTCTTGTCCTTCCTCAATGTTTTTTTTTCCTCTTATTTAAATCATGATGGCCTGTAACAGTTGAAGCATCTGAAAACTGAAATAAATATATATATTTTTAACATATATTGTACTTGAATTATCTCATGTTGGCACTTTTTAAGTTTTACATTTATAAGTTACCTATACCTGGGCTTCAAATTGAAGCCTGTTTTATATATATAAAATCAGATAATTTGCAAAAGGATAGTCAACAGTGGCTTTTCTTCCCCCCATCAGATGATACCAATTACTTTTGCTAAAATGACATACCAATCAACTATTGTATTTATTTTAAGCTTTTGTATAGTGTTTTATACAGGTATAAGCCAGTGATGTCAACAGATACTTAATGGATTTTGGCTCAATACCTCAAGATTTATCTAACAGTGAATGCAGTTTCAATTTAGATGATAAACTATGTATATAAGTAAAACTTAGGACATAATACCGGGCAGCATTATTTTTATCTTTAGGCTTAGTCATGTAAAAATTGCCTGTTGCTAAAATTTTGGATCAACCTCTTATTCGAGGTGTTTCGACATTACAGTTTTCAGTGCTTATTAGTATGGTCCTGGACGTAACCAGATTCAATCCCATATTTCCAAAAGATAGGCTTCTGTTGGAAGAACTTTGTTATAGATTTTTAAATTAGTAGTGTTAGAGAAATTTAAGTATATTTTTGAGGTGGTAAAAACTTAAGTGCTTTACTAAAAATAACTTTTAAAATTCACAGATAAAGTATAAGATGATCAATTTTAAAACCATATCTGTTCCTTATAACTGCCTGCATTAGAAATGCAAACTTGTAAAATGTTTTTGTAAAGTCCTAAAACCAGGAATTAGAGGGAAAAAACGGAGCTATTTTAGTTAAAGTTGGGATGTGTTAAGTCAGACGTTCCTTTGGCCCCTCAGAAGAACTTGGGAGAGTTCTAACCTCTTAAATCTTTTTATAGAACAAAATACCTAAGTGGTATTCCAATAATAAGCTACATAAGTGTAGAAGAACGTGGTCTGTGAACAGGTCAGAAACCTGTCTTAAGGTAAGTAGAAAGTGTTTAAATACCTAGATTGTGATAGAGCAAAAAATTGTTTTTTTACTAAGCTTTACAAAAATGTCTGTTTTATTGTAAAAAATAGATATATACACACACAGCGTTGTACTACATAATTTACAAGTTTTAAATAAGCATTTATAAAATCTAGGTTATTTGGAAAATACAGTAATGCAATGAACACATTTTATAATTTAGAAGCAACAAATGTGAAGGATTTGATTTTCTACATTTAAAACGAAGAATTAAAATTCTCTTCTTGATTTGCAGCTAAAGGCATGAGATTAGTTTCCAACTCCCTTTGCTTCTGGAGAAGGCCCTGAAATCACATTGATATGTTAGTAAGGTGTGCAGCAGACTTGCAAATTATTCCTATTTTACATCTCTGCCTTTCTAATCCAGAATTATATTTACATTACTTTGAAAACCTGTAAATTAGTTCAGTTACTTGGCTATACCTTAAGCTTTATCTTTGTCATGTTAAATTTTAACCACTCAAAAAACCTACATCAGACCTTCTCACTTGGATATTGTATAGCTATCACATATGTGTAAGATTATGTTTTTAGCATAAAAACAATAGGGATGACTTTTCCAAGTCTGCATAATTATGGGGCTGAAATCCCCTTAAATGCTCTTAACATGGTAATGAGACACACTGAAGTAGTCTCCTAACATCCAGTGTTATCTTGACTGCACTGACCTTAGTGGCTTAGACAAGGCCCTGCTGAAACTAAGATGTGGCTACTGTACAGGTGGGTCACTATGTACATGGTATATATTCCTGTCTCTTGACCTCACAACTTTTACCTCTATTAAGAAAAGTGCCTTGTCACTTTAAAGGAAAATTTAAAAGATTTACTGCTTGTTACATAATCTCTATGTAACCATTTAAAGAACCAAAAGATACTTTCTACATAATTGTTACTATGATTTTCTAGCTCTATGTGAACAAATTGGGAAAGCAATGCGTGAATCGACAATTTGAAATGCAAGAGGCATATATGTAAATGACTGGACATGGAAAAGGGCACTCCTAAAGTGGCAATTTATTTTTCCTAAGATCAGGGATCGGTATTTAAAGGCCAGCTGATAAAGGTTATATACACTTAAATATTGAATGTGTTACTAGATTTTATTCTTGCTTAAGCAAGCTAATGAGAAATGACAATAACTGACCTGGGTGGAGGAGATGTAGTCTGATGGGTAAGGTTAAGGTTATGTGTATACTTCCACACCAAATTTTATTATTATTCTTTGGGACTTGCATCAATATTCTGTTCTGAACACTGCCAACACATCCAATTAAAAACATGAACTGATTACTAAGAATTCATTAAAGGATAATTGTGTATTTTCTGTCTTGGGTTTTAGGGCTTATTAATCATGACTAATACCTTTAAATATGTATGCTTTTTTTCCTTCAATAAAATTGTCTTAATATTAGAACTGTCTCACGATTTCATACTGGAGTATTATGATGTGAATCAAATTGAAGGAAATAACTTTTTAACTGGGATGTGGTAAAAGTCCCATGTAATCATGTAACCAATTAAGCCTTTAAAGTAAATTCACCCTTCTGATACACAGTCCTCCAGTAGCCATAAACAGAAAAGTTACATTCACACTTGGTGAAAAAGCTCCTACCTGTCTCAGTTCTGATAGTCCCTTAAGGATTGCTTGCTGTCGGTCCCTGTTTTTCACCAAGTTAGGATTAAGAAGTGGGTCCCTGACATCAGAATCAAAGAGCTGCCGTTGTTCTTGGTCACAGGCTGCAGACAGATGAAAGTGGTAGGTTAAATACATCTCCAGTAGGATATTCCCTATACTATACTAGTCTAAGGATTCGTTAATAAACTTTGAGTAATGGACCCCAAAATAGAAATTCTACCCCTCCTAAGGGCAAGAATATTAGTTTGGATTCTGAATTTAGTATTGGGGATAAGGAGGGAAGGATACTTATATTTACTTACCATGTGGATTTTGATACTGAAGATCGTGGGTTAAAGGCCTAGACAGTGGTGCATCTGGATCAAGGTAATAAATCTCATTGGTTCGGACATAAGGGATAAAATGGGACCGTTCAGGAAGTCCAGGTGATGTTTCTGTTTGACTGTCTTCTAAGATCAGATTCTGTCTTTCATAATTACTGTTTTTTAGAGTTTGTTGTGTTCTGTTTTTCACCACTGGAACTGGTGGTGGTGACTGAGACCTGTTCCCCACCCCCCAAAAAAAGCACAATTAAGGACTAAGAAGCTTTATTGCAAAATTATGTATTTGAATATATCTACTCTTCAATCACATTTCAATTCAGTCTACACGTAACACTTTGGAACACTAGGAAGACAAATGAGTTCTATGATACTTTTCCTAAAATGGCAAGAGAAATAGGATGACTTCTTACTTGGCAAGGATATACAGAGGAAAAATGAGGATCAACACTAGCTGGGCTGATTTAAGACTAATGTTTCTTCTTAGATAATTCACCATAAAACAATGTACTTACCATGTGAACCAAACTTCCTGTTACAGCCACATTCTGACACAACTCTAAACCACCTGGTTCATGCACAAAAGCGTAAAATAAAATTTCTAACCATCTAAATCTCCTACTGTAGCTGAATTTCTCATTATCCCTCCTGGTCATTTCTTTATAACCTCCTCAATCCAAGCAGAAGGTCTGTTCCACTTGTGACATAACTGGAAAGTCAAAACTGTTTTATTTTTTAAAAAGATTTTAGAGACAGAGTCCCAAGCAGACTCTGTGCTAAGGACAGAGCCTGACGTGGGTCTCCATCCATGACCACAACCTCATGAAACCAAGAGCCAGTCACTTAACTGATTGAGCCAGCCAGGAGCCCCAAATCAAAATTACTTTAGCTAAGCTTGCAGATTTACATTCCTACCTAGATAGTTAGGCCCAGTCCAAATTGGGCCTTCAAATTTCAGGTAAAATGTCAGCCACATTTCCCTTAAACCTGTATTTCTCACCTCGTAAGTTCCTACGCATTAGTGGTTTCTGACTTCATATATATATATATACAAGCTTTGATTTTACCTATATTCTGAGCAAATATTTTGTAGTTTTGTCCCACACAGCACTAAGTAACTATGGAATCAATCCAGTCCATAACATACCTTTCCTTGCTGAAAGAATTAATTTTCAGAGGCTCTTCTTCCTAAAGGGTAGAAAAATGCAGACAGGAGTAGCAGTACTGCCGTATGTCCCCACAAATACTTAAAATTTGAGATAATCTGAGGATGATAACTGAATAACACATATTGGATAATGGGAGAGATTTTATGTTTTTCCAATCACAGAACCAATGCAGTAATTCCTGACCTTGTAAAACTATCCTCTGTCTATATGAACTACAAACAAGAATTTTGAATGGCTATTAAAACAATGAACAGCATTCATCTATACAAGGTTAAAGTGTCAAGTTTTTCTGTAAAGGACCAGATAGTAAACACTTTTGGCTTTGTGGGCCATGTGGTAATCTCTTACAACTACTCTAAGCCAGACACAGACAATTCATAAAACTTGATTTACAAAAGCAGCAGCATGATGGATTTGCCCACGGGCCATAGTTTGACAACCCCTAGTATAAACCAAAGTGTATTTCTTAAATTCTTGCTCAGATACAGAGCCACTTTGTCAAAATATGCATGTGGGGAACGGTTTTCAATCTAGAAACATCAATACATACTTTAAAAATATTTTTAAGACAGAAAAGTCTTACCTTTTTGATTAGATGCCACCAGAACCTTGGCTCAGTTTCTTGAGATGAAGGAAGAACCGGTGAAGTGCCTCTATTTTGAGAGAGATGTCCAGGACCATTTCTTTCTACCAAATTAAGCAGTTCCATCTGCCTTCTTACTTTTTTTTCTTCTCTCTGCTTTTGAAGCTGTTTGGGGTACTTTTCTGATGCCGGAATATACCTTTTGAGTGGTTTGTTTATATTCCAATCAGGCCTTTTAGGACATTTCTTCATATGTGTTTTCTCTGTCCTTGCAAACTCATTACACGGATCATCATACCAATTGTTTTCTTTTTCTAGGTTGGCTCCTTTAACCTGATTTATTAGTTCCTCTTTGTCCTTCTTAGTGTTAAACTGTTTGTTAAATTCTGCAGGAATCTCAGGAGATGAACAATTTAGTATTTCCCTCTCCATTACTGTTCCACAGAATGATTCTGCATTGGTGAATGTTCCTGTATTTAAGTCATCTAAAGAAAAATTTCAGAGGATTAATTTTTAATTGTTGTAAAACACAGAATTTATTTATTTTTTTTTCCAAAGGCATTATACTTTTGTGGGGTTTCCCCCCACCAAATTCTGTATAATTAAACTTCTATTCTCCCTGCCAGCTTCTGGCAACCACCATTCTACTTTCTGTTTCTATGATTTTGACTATTCTAAGTACCTCATACAAGTAGAATCATACAGTATTTGTCTTTTTTATGACAGGCTTATTTCATATTAGCATAATGTCCTTGAAGTTTACCCGTGTATTTGTACAGCATGCGTCATAATTCCTCCCTTTTTAAGGCTGACTAATATACCATCGTAGGTGTATATCACACTTTGTTTATCCATTCATCTGTCAAGGGACAACATTTGGATTGCTTCTACCTTTTTTTTTTTTTTTTTTTTTTTTAAAGATTTTATTTATTTATTTGACAGACAGAAATCACAAGCAGGCAGAGAGGCAGGCAGAGAGAGAGAGGAAGGGAAGCAGACTCCCCGCCGAGCAGAGAGCCCGATGCGGGGCTCGATCCCAGGACCCTGAGACCATGACCTGAGCCGAAGGCAGCGGCTTAACCCACTGAGCCACCCAGGCGCCCCTGCTTCTACCTTTTAGTTACTGTGACTAATGTTGCTGTGCACACTGGTGTCCAAATATCTCTTTTCACTTTCCAGCTCTTTTGGATATATACCCAGAACGGGTATTGATGGACCATATGCTAATTATATTTTTGAGGGTTTTTTTTTAAGATTTTTTGTTTATTTATTTGACAGAGATCACAAATAGGCAGAGAGGGAGACGGAGAGGAGGAAGCAGGCTCCCTGCTGAGCACAGAGCCCGACGCAGGGCTCGATCCCGGGACCCTGGGATGACGACTTGAGCCGAAGGCAGAGGCTTTAACCCACTGAGCTACCCAGGCGCCCCTATTTTTGAATTTTTTGAGGAAATGCTTTATGTTTCCTATAGTGACTACTGTATTTTGCGTTACCAATAGCGCACAAGGGTTTAAATCTTACATTAATCCATTTTTAAGTGTACCATTCACCGTACCAAACAAACCCACAGTATTCCACAATTTTCAGATGCTTTCATTTACGCCAAACAGAAACCCTACATCCACTAAGTAGTAACTCCACATTCCACCCTCCCTCCCCACCTCTCTACCTTCCATCTCTATGAATTTGTCCACCCCACTCTAGATTCCTCCCACAAGTGAAGCTATAGGGTATTTGTGTTTCTCGGCACTCCTGCCGAACACAGACCCACATTATTTACTCAGCAAGGTGCCTCGGTCATCCATGCCATAAAGTGTTTCACAACTTAAGAAGGTTCAGTCTTTTGTGGAACCCAATGCCGGGCTTGAACTCACAACCCTGAGATCACGACTTCAGGTAAGATTGAGTTAGACACTTAGCCATCCAGGCTCCCCCAGATGATTTGTTCTTAACATCACATAATACAGACCTTTTTTTTTTTTTTTAATTTATTTATTCGACAGAGAGAGAGATCACAAGTAGGCAGAGAGGCAGGCAGAGAGAGAGAGAGGGGGAAGCAGGCTCCCCACCAAGCAGAGAGTCCGATGTGGGGCTCGATCCCAGGACCCTGGGATCATGACCTGAGCCGAAGGCAGAGGCTTTAACCCACTGAGCCACCCAGGTGCCCCAATACAGACCATTTTTTAAAAGAAACTTTTCACAGGACTGTCCTGGCTTTCCTTAGAATATACAAAAACCATATAGTATAGAGTATCCTCTTGTATATCTAAGGGTATTTCCTTCTCAGCAAAAGTCTATTTTTCATATCAGTGGTAACTGACAAAAAAGTGAGATGTTAAGTTTTTTTTTCATAACTTGGCTTGAACTTAAAGTACATAAATATACAGGATCTGGAAAATGTCCTTCCACTGTCTGAAGTACTGGGAAAATGTCTCTTATACCTCCCTTCTTGGAGTCAAATTTCTAGGGAAATGTTGTTGATGAAGTCATGTGTTTTTTTGTACTTTTAGATCCATATGACTCATATACCATTATATTCTGCCAGCAGACCATCGCTAAATCGCATAAAACACTGGAAAAGTTTACACAAAAAAGACTTCTGAAATTTTCTTCTTACATGTTTACGAATGTATTCAGCTGTTACAGCTGTGAAACCAGTTGAACAATTTTACAAAATTTCAAAATCTTTGACTCATGATTAAAAAATATTTTTTTAAAAGATTTTATTTATTTGACAGACATCACAAGTAGGCAGAGACGGAGAGAGAGGGAGGAGGAAGCAGGCTCCCTGCCTAGCAGAAAGCCCGATGCGGAACTTGATCCCAGGACCCTGAGATCATGGCCTGAGCTGAAGGCCGAGGCCTAACCCACTGAGCCACCCAGGCAGTCCCTCATGATTAAAATTTCAAATACACAATTAGCTAATGAAAAAAGGTCTTGCTACACATTAAAAAAAATTAATAGTCCACTTATTGCTCTCTTATCCTGGACACTTACCAGGTTTGTTATTCCAGGATGGAGATGCTCTAGGACCAGTCCCTAGTAAGGCTGCCTACCTGCACCATTCTAATACTGGATAGCTTCTTTTGCCACTCTATACCCCAGTTAATGCCTTTTTCTACCATGACTCTCTGCCCTGGCAAGCTAAACTGGTATGAACCGTTATCAATGGGTTCCTGGGTCCTCCAACTTCAGTCAAGAGGGGTTCACTGGCAGATTAAAGGGAGGAAAGCAAATGAAGCCAGCATATTTATTCCACTGGCTCATTCCCTGTATTGACCTGAGGCTGACTCTGTCCCTTTACCAAAGGTCACTGTTCCCCTCAAAGTTACCTCTAACACAACTTTTGCCTTCTAGGGTCTGGTAATCAGCTTAGTTGCTACTAGCACCGAAGTCATGAACTATCTCTGATTCCCTCACACCCAGTTTTTTTGGAAATGGTTCCTTTCTACATAAAGCATCCTGAATTACTCTATTTTGGACCGGACTGATTAAATTCTCTTATTTAGAGCCACACAGTGATAATACACATAATTTTACTGTCTTAAGGAATTATTTTCACTTTCCCTTAAATGTGTAGGATTCATATAAGTCTGTTACTTATCTGGACATAGGGAAGGGACTGAAACCGATTCACCAACCTGAAGCACAAAGTATCAAACAATACCAAGAGCACATAAGCAGAATAATTTTAGATAAGTGAGCAGCTTTCAGGTAAGTAAGTAACCCAGACCACCTTCTTGAGGTGCAATGGGTTTGAACCCTACACTGGGTACCCCAGCTTTTAAGATCTGATATTGAGAGGGGAGTTCACAAAACATCTAGCTCAGAAAGCCAATAGGGCTGAAGTCTATGAGACCCACGAAGTTATAGCAGAAGGCAAAAATGCCTGTTGTGTGGACTAACTTCCCCCAGGGCCCAGCAAAGATGCAGCCAATAGTATCCAGAGTTACTAATATAAGTAAACAAACTTCTTTTCACAAAAAGTGTTGGCCTAAGGGGCAGGCATCTAACATAACCACATATCTAGGGACTTACTGGGATACTATTTCAGGGGAGTAAGGCTGGCAGGCACTACCTTCATTTAAAACACTAGGCCTGGGCACCTGGGTGATTCAGTTGGTTAAGCAACTGCCTTCGGCTCGGGTCATGGTCCGGGAGTCCTGGGATCGAGTCTGGCACTAGGCTTCCTGCTCAGCAGGGAGTCTGCTTCTCCCTCCACCTCCCCCTGTCCCCTACTCATGACTGCTCTCTATTAAATAAAAATAAAACCTTTAAAGAAAAATGTAAAAGTAAAAAAAAAATACAGGCCTACTACGAACCTCCAACAGGTGCTATCTTTAGAGTTCTAGCCCCCATCCCACCCCACCTCACCCCAACCAGCAGGTGTCATCTTCATGCTTTTCCTGTCCTACTCCAGAGCGCCAATATCCCCTGGAAGGGAACTTTTATACACGCTGTTGCCCTATATTTTATGTTGTACCCTGGATAACCAGGCCCCAGAGGCCAGGGGGGCTTCTGCTTGTGGTCCTAGTGGATATTTATATATGTTAAAAGCTGCTGCCTGAAGGTCTGGCTTCCATCAGCCTGAATCTAAGGGCTGACTCAGATACTCCCCTCTCTAGGACACTGACCAGTCTTGGCACACTCAACTACTGGGAGCTTTTATAAATAAAACTGGCTGCAGGGACTATCACAAAGGCTTGAGAGACAACCAAGAGCATGCGTAGGGTTGAACAATAAAGTTCAGTGTGTACATGAGGCCATCCTCCAATCCTGAGAGAGGCAGTTGTTAAAACTGATGCACACAAACCAAGACAGAATGAAGAAACCAGAGGACTATGTTCCAAACAGGAGAATAAGATAAAACCTCAGGATAAAAACCTTAATGAAAAAATTTACCTAATAGAGTTCAAAGTAAGTAATGGTGACAAAGATGCTCACAGACCTTGACAGAATGGATAAACACAGTGAAAACTTCAAAAAGAAAATATAAGTATTCAGGGTACCAAATACAAGTCACAGAGCTGAGGAATATATTAACTGAACTGAAAAATAACACTAGAAGGGTTCAATAGGAGACTAGATGATACAGAAGAAAGGATTGGTGAACTCAAAGACAGGATAATGGAATTCATCCAATCAGAGCATCAAAAAAAAAATAAAAGTGAAGATAGCTCAGGAACTTATGGGACAACACCAAGCCAACAAATATTCAAATTATTTGGAGCCTCAGAGGAGAAAAGCAGCAAAAAAATTACCTGAAGAAACTATGGCTGAAAACATCCCTAACCCGGAAAAGAAACCAATATCCAGATTCAGGAAGCACAGAGAATTCAAAATAAGAAACACAAAGAAACCATCACTGAGATTCTTATAATTAAAATGTTGAAACTTAAAGACAAGAAGTATATCTTAAAAACGGTAGAAAATCAACTTGTTACATACAAGGAACCCTCATGAGATTTTTTTAGCAGATACTTTG